TAAATTCAAGAAATTAAATGATGTTGCATAAAACCAACGGCACAAGCTAGGCTGTTCTGAAAGGAAATTCTTTATTCATGATATTCGTGAACTACCACAACATTTGAATAAGACTAAAAGGCTTGTTATTAATATCATAATTATATGTAATTAATATGTAACTAACAATATAAAGAAATCCATTAAATTTAACTCTAAATTTTAAAAAAGATGTGAGGTAGGTTAATCAAATCATATTATAATAATGAGGATATAATAATTATATCAAAGAAAAAGAAAAATGTTAGGTTTTGGTACTGGTGCATTAATTTATAAACATTTTTCTTATCACACTACGAATAATATAACTAACACTATTTCTTAAAACTATTCACATGTGGCGCACTTCTCATATAAAATTTAATTAAAAAACAAATTATATTTGGAAATTATTCGTTTATATATCTCTTAAAGTTTTCACAACATTTCAGCAAACAGCCAACTCACTTATGTCATGCAAATGAAATGCTCATTACAAAACCAAGCGGTTCTGGCCGCACTTGACACTTTGCGCGACAAAAACATGCACACATATACATATGTATATACTTGTATATAAGTATAAACAGAGAGAGCGGATCCTCGTGTCATATGCCCAAAATTATCAAGACACATACAAGCATGCACTCTGACATGGTGACTGCCACAAATGTCCTGATGCTGACAACGACATCCGGCGGCATCTCTACACCTCTCTCTGCCATCACCCCCCCCCCCCCCCTTCCCCTTTCGTTGGTGGTGTGTGTCTGTGGCACTTGCCACAGTTATGGCCATTACCATGCACAAGTGCGGGGCGGCAGTTCGGATGGCACCTGAAATTATGCCTCATGTGCTGGGCTCGCAAAAACTGTGCCTACCATAAAATGCAACGACTGACTGTTTGCCTCCATGTCTCGTTTTTGTCGTGTGTTTGTAGGTGTGTGTATTTGTGTATGTGTGGGTGTGGGTGTGCACTTTAACGTTGCACTCCATGGTGCGCTGACAGACGCACGAGTCTAAAGTGTTCTTCATGCTGCGCTTGTCAGCCTAAGCTCCCAGCTCACAGCTAGAGATGGAGGCGTGAATTCGTTTAAATTCTCAAATTTTTCACTTTTCCTAAATTTCTACTTCATTTTAACATTTTCAATCCCTTTACAGTTTAAATTTAAGATTAAAGCTTGTATTTAAGAGTATGTACTGTGTCTAAACAATTATTGGAACATAACGTTTGTTGACCGCTTGCTTGGCTTTTCTCTACTTTTCCAGCTTTTCCAAACACGTACATTAAATAATGCAATATGTTTTATACGTTTGTTCTGTGCTATGTTTTAGAAGGCGAAGTAGGGTGTAAAGAAATTTTTAAAGTAATACAAAGTATTATAAAAAGCACGATAATGGTTCGTAGAATAAAAATCGTTAGTTTCAAATTTTAAGCAAATTCTAAGCAAACCAGCTAATTGTTTTTATTGCCAAGTTCTGTCCGGGTTTTTTTTTTTGTTTTTTTTTTGCATAAACATCACTTTGATTATTTATTTTTATTGCCAAGTTCTGTCCTGTTTTTTTCTTTTATTAAAAAAGTCTATCCAAACAAACTTTAAGTTTGTAAAAATAATGTTAGCAAATATATTTATTTGATTTAATTGTTGAAATATTTTAAATGATAACAGAGGCCAAGCATTTTTGGAACAAAAGTCTATTGTGTCTGAATTTTTATTATAAAATTAATTTTATTTTTCTCAGTAGACTTCGAGCATATCGTATTTTATTCATTTATTTTATTGTGCAAGATTTTAAAATAGAATCGAAAAATAGGCAAACTTAAAAAGTTATTTTGTTCATCAGCAGCCCCAATCCATGAGAAACAATTCATCTTATCATTTGTACCAAAATAAAAGCTAACATATTGCTATAGAATTCAATGTTAGAGAACCCACTTTCAAATTTCATTCAATAATTATTAGCTTCATTTGTTTTATCCAATAGTTTTTAACACTAATTTAAACTTTTTGAAAATTCTTCAAGCCTTAAACATTTCAGAGAACGGTGTTCTGGAGAGCTAAGGTCTCATTACAGTTTTTAACAACACACTAATAGAATGTATGATAATATAATAAAAATTTCTTGAATTCAATGCTTGGCCCAAAACCAAAACAAACTCCCATCTTTAGGTTACAGATTTGCTTGGGCAGCCACTGGCATTTTCAGCTCTCGTGGTTTTAAAAGTAAAACGCTGTTGAGTTCATTAAAAATTGTACTAAGTGTGTTGTCATCATCATCATCATCATCATCCTCATCCGTACCCTTAGTCGTAGTTACAGTCCTTGTTGTTAGGCTAACCGCAGCTTCCACAGCCTCCACAGCACCTACAGCTTTCCAAACTCACACGTCACTCCACATGGTTGTCAGCTGCAGGCTATGGAGCGCTACTTCTTGTCGTTGTTGTTTTCATGTTTTCATTTATGTATGTACTATGTACATATATACTAATGGTGTATGTGGTAGGCGCACATTTTCCAACGTAATTCGTTTTGCCGCCAAAAATTGGATTTGCGTGCTAAACAAAACCTAAATGGCTTTCATGGCTTATGATTCCCCCCATTCCCCACGGGCCCCAAGGGGCGATTTGGTTTTATGAATTATGCAACACACACATTCAATTAAAATTAAGCCCATTTAGCAATATGTGTTTTACGTTTTAAAAGGGGCCCACGAGTCGCATTGAAGCAGTGAACAGATAGATATCGAATGAATGAGTTGATGAACAATTTAAAGCATTAAACAGTGTTTTTTTTTAAGATTTTGAAAAAATTGTACAGCTTACTTCAAGTTAATTTAAACCTATTCCAGTGGCATATTTCAGTAGGAAGAGTTATTGTTATAAATGGAAGAAATGGAGAAATGGAAGGAAAATGCACCATTTTTCCAAAAAGTGTAATTATATTTTACAAACAGCGCATGTAAATGCTCATAAAGTTCTTTAATTAAATACATCAAATTGTGTTGTATAAATGTTTAAATAAAATAAAACTGCCTTAGAAGTATATTAGAAAAATAAATGAAATCTTTTGCTTGTTTCTATATTTATATGTAAATTAATAACGAGAAATTCCTTCTAAAATAAATACAAGGGCTAAAATAAATATAAAAATGCAAGGGCCATTTATGTTTTATGAATAGAGAGCCAATTCATGATATTTCACTGAAAATGGTTTTTATTGTTTTTCAAAATAATTTCCATAAAATCATTACACTTTTTTCATCGCTTTAACCAATTAATTAAAATTTGAAGCACTTTCTAGAAGAAGAAAAAGAGGCTTTAAAGGCTTCTACAGGCGATTTTGTTTTCTTTCTTTATTTTTAAAGGTTTTGAAAGTGAGGCTGTAAGACGGATGGAGTTTTTGATGGCAAAAAAGGTCATGTATGCGCCGATCTGTGTATGCTGGCATTTTGATGGTGACAGCCACTAAACCAAGCCGAAAACTTTTCGCATCAAATGGTTATATTTAGCCTGTTACGTATAGCCTGTGGTACGAAAATATTCCTCCTTCCTTGCATATCAACATCAAACTACTCTTACAATTAAAACAATTATAAAAGATAGAGTATATGGTCAAAATATTTTTAAAATATCAAAATATTGTTCAGCTAAGTCACTACATTATTGGAATGAAAAATTATACTATCATTATGTTTTAAACAGCACCAACGAGTAGAATATTAAAGTCCCGACGTAACCTTTTGCGAACTTAAACTTGCAGTGTTGTAGCAAACAATATTATGAACACTTTTAAGGACATTTTGAGGCATTAGGAAACTTGTAGATACCAAATGCAGCTAGTTAAAAAAAGAAATAGTAATGAACATTTCATAAACATTACCTTCGCATAAAATAAAATACATATTTCTATAATACACTTGCACGAATGTAAATTTTATATCATTGTTCTATTTAAAAACTGAAGGGGCAAGAATTAAAAAAAAAAGGCGAAACTAAGAATTAAGTTCAAAACAAATGCTATTAACGTACGTTTCCTTTTTGAAAAAAATGTGCTATACACTATATATAAGCCCGCTTTGCTTCAAGCTTATCAATTTCGTTTGATTATTCGTTAAAAAATAAAGAAATATTTTTTCTCCCTACTTACATTTTACGAATGAAATATGAAATAATAACATTCAATGTAAGTCGCCTGACAACCATATAGGCTTTTGAAATTTAAGTAAAACTGAGAACATTTAAATTTAAGGCTATTGCGGGGCCCCCACCCTGCTCTCAGATATGCTGAGGATGATAGCACTTGGCACTGAAATATTTATCTCAAATTCTTACTCTCCGTGTCAATCGTTCTCAGCGGGAAACTTGTGCTCTGTTATGAATATGCAGCACAAAACGGACAAACGAAAAAGCCAAACACATGCACACATTCAAAATGCATGGGGACGAACACATGGATGGATATGGGAAAATCAATAGGAAAAGCGAATAGCCAAAAACAGCTGTTCAAATTTAAAGGCAAAGTTAATGAAAACTGCGGCCGCTAGAAAATGTAAACAAGCGATAAAGTTAGGCAAACGGCACCGAAACGAACGACTAAAAATAGGACAACACTGAGCAAAGAGCAGCAGGAAAAGAGAGCACAAGGCACAGAGCGAGAGATAGGAGACAGAGAGAGAGAGAGAGAGAGAGAGCGCTACTCGTGTGTGAAAGTTATATTGGTCGCCTATGAAAATTTTTACATTTTCAGCATTTAGTTTTTCGCAGCTCTTCAACGTAGTCGGTCATATCGGTCGGTCGAATCGCGGCAAATGGTCAAAACGCGTCAACGCACACACACTAACGCACTCCGACGCTTACACGCGCATAAATATACACACACATATATGTATAATCGACGAAACTAAGAGCAAACGTTTATATATAGAAAATGTACGCACAGCTGTAGGGGAAAAGCAGCAGCAACTAAAAATTATTTTCGAAAATATGCTTGTAGCTGAAAATAAATTGAAAATTAAGAACAATTTCGTTAATTATTTTTACAATTCAACTGATATTTTCTATTAAACGAAATATTGCGCATACGCCGCGTGTGTCGTGTTGAAGTCGAAAAGTAACTGTGCGTCAGCGACCGACTCCACCCAAAATTATACACCAAATATGTACCAACAAATCTAGAGTGTACGAGTATTATAACCATAAAAAAAAAACCACAACACTTGCATGGCAAATGTTTAAAATTGTGTTGGTTTGGCGAGCTCGTGAATGCGTTGAAGAATCTTAAATAAAAGGAAAACAAGGAAAATGCTAGAAAAATGCTTGGTGCTGGCAAAATGTTGATGACACATTTCTCTGTCATTTCGACCGCATTCCTCGCAATTCAACCTCTATTCCTGTTGTTGCTGTGTTTCGGGCCGCCTTCGTTGCCGTCGTCATCGCCGCATGGCGTCTCGATTATGGTGCGCGCCTCAGCCGCGGATGAAGCGTAAGTGTGGCCAGCGAAATGGAATCAGACAGAGATATATATATATATACATATAATACATGCTATACTATGTACAACATGCAAGTAGACAATGAGGCAGACAGTCTGGCAAAAAGTTAGCACGCACGCAGACACACACACATACACACCTACACAAACAGACATAGACATACCTATACCCATACACATAAAGTCAATTAAAGGGCGTGTTTTCATCATCGTCGTAATTTTTGTCTTTATCGGCGGTCGTTAATTTTCCTACATTTTATGCTAATTTTCTTGGCAGCCAGCACGCACGATTTTTTGTCTTTATTTATTTTGTATTTTGTTCTTTATCTTTGCTTTCTTTCGTTTTGCGTCTTCCTTACGACAGCCTTTCTTAAGCACACAAATAAAATTGTTTGCCCTGCATGTTGACTTGTGTCCCCTTTTCGCCTCCTTTCCGACAGCCTTATGCATATTTTATTGGGCATTTGTAAAACAAGTTAACAACGCAAGTGTGTTGAAGGTGCTGTCATTAATTTTTGACATTGCGCACACCATGCCAGAAGAACGAATATTTGTGTTTGGCAATTTGACTAACAGGTCACGAATGTCGTTTAGGTAAACGGCATTTAATGAACCTGATTACCATAAAGAGATCCCAGTAGGTCCTACTTTCACATTTTATCAGTTTAAAGAGTGCAAACGAAAACTATAAATATGATCTGTTACTAAAATTATGATTTAAAAAAGCTTGGAGGTTGTGAGGATGGCCAAAACAAAAAGTCCGCAGTTAATTTTTAAGAACTCGCCAAAATATTCATTGCAATTTCTGAGGCAATTGGAATTAAACAAAGAAAAAAATATTTTCCGAAAAGATGTTTATTTCATTTGGCCAAATCGTTAATAAATCTTTCCAGCACTGCATTTTGGCTGCTCGTATTAGTCATATTCGAGCCAATTCATCGATGACCTGGAATTAAACAAAGAAAAAAATGTTTTCCGAGAAGATGTTTTTTTTTTCATTTTCCCCAACCGTTAATAGATCTTTCACATTACTATATTTATTTATTTTATTAACCTATCCTAGCATTACAAGTACCAGATTACTTTCAGGCACTGCATTTTGGCTGCTCGTATTAGTCATAATCGAGCACAATGCCAACTCATCGATGAGCTGGAAAAATGAAATTTTGCCAACAACACATGGCCTCAACAGCTTGTAACTTTCATATGTTCAAAAAAGTGGATAGAGGTAGCATTTAAAACCAATATGTATACACATAACGACCGAAAAATGCTTAAGGACATATACAGCACTCAAATTAAAAAAAAAAACCCAGACATTTTTCACAAAAATTGTTGTGGTTTTAATTTATAAAAAGTTGTCTCAAGCTTTTTTACTTCCTCTGATGAAGTGCATCTCAAAAAGTTTCGTTGCAAGTTAATTTTGTTTTTTCATTAGAATTTTGAACTATATTCCGACTCATCTCGTCAGGCTGATCATACTTATATTTTTTCATTTATTTACAAAAATAAAGAGTACCTTATCTACTTAATTAGAAATAAAGTAGCACACTTATATGTAGCTATAAAATATTTTCAGTTCGTTACATAACTTCTTTCTTCTTAGCATACACTCTAACCTTTTGGGCGCTGGTTATAAAAATAATTATTGATTACTAAAGCCATTTAAGAATATAATTGTAAATATCTTTCGCCTTCATTCATCAATCAGAGCTTCCCAAATATGAAGGTTGTTTAATATTTGAAAGGTCGCGTGTTTTCTAACCATCCCGTCATTTCAGAAACCACCACCTATAGCCTTCAATAGCCATTCATCAGGCGCTTTTAGCTTATTAGCTAATTATTTTGGCCTTTGTAAAAACTCTTAAATATTTTGTGGCAACGCCTGCCATTAGCGCATTTTAATATTGCACGAGAACATTAATAAAAAATGAGGCCGCATAGCGGGAAAGTGTGATTAAAGAAAAATTTTCATTTAGTTGGCTCCCTTTGCCAAATTATTTAATGAGCTTCAAAAGGATTTAGGGTGTGTATTTTATGTTCCAACAATATACATTATGATATCATGCTGGCAAAGAATTAAATATATACACATGTTTGCTATCAATATGTTTGTGTATATGTATAAATGAGGGTCGACTTTTAGGCGCATGGGTTTTCAAGCTATATTTGTATATCCCGTAATGGAAGGATGAAAATGCTTTATTAAATTTTGGCAAATGAGTCCAACAGACAGAAGGCACCTTCTCCAACCGAATAAATTGTAGATAAATGCTTGGCAGCTCGAGTTTATTTATTTTTTTAAAATGCTACATTTTTGTTAATACTCTTTGCAATTTTAAAGCTATATAAACATTCTATTTGTTAATCTTAAGAGTTATTAACAAAACAATTTCATCGAACGTTTGAATGAAAATCTTAACAATCAGAAGATTTATTTGCAACACACACTAAACATATACAGACAGCTAATTGCTTATAAATAAAAGGCAGTCTCTTTGAAATTGCTATGTTGAACTAAAGATAGAAATAAAAATGTGATTTATAAAAACATTGGCTTCCGCATCCAACGTTTTCTTTTCCAATTTAAAAAATTGAATACATATTTGCATTATAATATGTATTAGCAACAGCTGCTATTAACTTCAACAACATCAGAATATCGCAGAAGCATTGTTGATCACAGAAATAAATACAGACATATGCTAATAAATTACAGCTACTCTCTAAGTATGAGTATATCTATGAGTTTTTAAATATATAGAAAACTTCTTGACACGTCTAATAATCTGTCACAAAGTAAATAAATTCCGATAAAGCAGAATTTCAATTCAGTTAATTATTCAACGACAGATTTAAGTATAAAGAATTCATTAACAAGCCAGCCAAACAGCCGAATCGGCAATTCCGGTGGCAATATAAGGTTCATTGTTATTTCTTTACTGCTGATGTGAGAAAATTCCCATTTTATGAATATTTAATACAATATTTATGGCTGCTTTGCCTCCCAGAGCCGCAGCCACATAAAATGCTGCTCACATTCGAGGTATGAGTAGATTTCTGGGTGCCACACAATAAGAAAGCCACACAGTTCAATTATATTTATTTTAGTGCCGCTTTAGAGATAGCAACGCTTTATTTATAATGGAAAAAAAGGAAAACCATAACAACACTTCTAACTAGCTAAGTGAAATGCGCGATCAAAAGAAAACATTTGCAATCGTGCACCACTCGAGAAACTTTAAAACAAAAGTCGCCGCCAAAGCCACCGACAACGCCGCAGGCCACGTCAGAGAATCGTGTCAAAGGCATCCCAACAAACGAAAATGAAAATGGACAGCAGGAGTGGCGGCAACAACACAACTAACAAGTGTGTGTCTCTCATTCTTAAGAGAAGATTGCGAAGGCACTGCGCAGGCTTCCTGAGCGGCCAAAACAAAAAGCATTTGGTATCTCAATTTTTGAATGCCCTTCAGTTTTATCGAAATGGAAACTAGAAAAAAATATGAACTTCGTATAAATAAGAGTGTTTGTTAAGCTATTTCTTAATCCGTTTCGTTTTATAAATTGGTTCTCGATTAAATGTATGTATTTTTTAAAGAAGACTACTATACTAGTAAAAAGTTGAAAATGCATTGAAGAAAACTGCTATTCTTATACCCTGTACCTGAATGGTTAAAAAGGGTATGTGTATTATGTTTGTGCAATGTATTTAAGAGACAGAAGTAAGCATCTCCGATCCCATAATATGTATATAATCTTAATCAACATGGGGAGATAAATCAAGCTAGATGTTTTCGTTTGTCTATCTGCCCGTCTGCCAGGACATCGAAAACAGTCGAGCCTAAATTTAATCAAGTTTGATATGCAGACTCTTCTTGAATATACGATATTATTTATCCCAAGAACCGCGATTTGTTCTTCTTCTTTTTTAATTCTGCGAGCTGAAAGAAGCATATGTAATACAGGTAGAGTGATGGATTTTTATTGTGTAGAGGGTATTTTACTGCCCTTTTGGTTAATATTAACTAAATCAGTTGCAGTGAAGAGTCATAATTATAATTTGAAATAATATTTGTACAAGTATATGGCCGTCCACTTATTCTTTATCAGAGGCTCTGGTTTCGTTTAGAAGTTTTCGCTCAGCTCACTGTAAACTGCATATTAAGACCAAGATATTTTACTGAAAACATAACTCTAATCAGGAAGAGCCTGTTTCTTGCAAAAGGACCAATCTGATTTAATTTAATTCGGCTATGGTCTTTTGATATATGACCAGCAAATGCATTTAAATTAAGAATTGAACAATCATCCACTTACATACTTTTAAGCAGAAAATATAGACGTTTTTTTTTTTGTGCCGTTGACAAGATTAATTTTTCGGTAACATTTTTTCTGATTTGCCAACGTTTCTTTCAAGCGTTAAACAATATTTATAGTCTAGCTATTAATAAGAAGCGTTATTTAACTAACTTAAAATAATGATTACAAGAGAAGACTAATTTTTTGTTAATATATTTTTTTATTTGCGAACCCTTCTTTAAAGAAGAATAATATAATATTTCTAGTATAATATCATATTTCTATTAATATATTATTTCTAATAATATAATATTTCTAGTATAATATTTCTAATAATATAATAATTCTATTAATATAATATTTCCAATAATATTTCTAGTAAAGTTTTTAAGAAGTAGCGTAATCAATCAAATTTAAAAGAATGAAATCAAGCCAGGTCTAATTTTTTGGTAATATAATTTTTTTCCATTTGCGAACGCTTCTTTAAATAATAATACAAGTAATATAATATTTCTAGTATAATAAATTATTATAATAAATAAATATAATATTTCTAATAAGAAGCGTAATTAACCAAACCAAATCAAAGCATTAATCAGAAGATTACTATAAGCTGATATTTTTTATCATTATGTATCCACCAAAATTACGATGTCCTATTAAGATGATTGTCATTGTCTTATCATGAAAGTTTATTTGTGTGCGTAAGCTTTAGTTTTAGGCTCATCTGTTAATAGAGCTTAGACTATTCTCTAATTCGGTCGACACATTACTTACTTGCTGGAGATCACAACCACTTAGAAACAAAACTAGTGCAATCGCCAGTATAGCGCAACGATAAAGAGAATCACCCGAACACACACACACATGCACAGGGAGATATTAGTTGCATTTAAGAGAGCAAAAGATGCGCGCGCACAGGCACTTGTTGATTACTCACACATACACGCACACACACACACACACATAGAGACGTGGGAGTGGGGCACAACTAAACAGCTGTGTTTGACATGGTTCCCAACAATTAGTGGATTGCACTTTCTTTGCTTTCTTTTTGCGCGCTTTCAAGCGGTGTCGAAGTCAGCGTCGCGTCGACGTCACCGCCAACAGCTTGTGCGCCGTGTACAAGTAGGCGTTGTGTTGTGACAGACATGTGTGCTAATTAAATTAGTTGGTTTGTTGTTCTTGTTCTTTTTCTCTCGTTGCTGGTGTTTGCTGGCTCTTGTTGTTGGCGACGAATGCGACAGGTGGTTGACATTTATTTGGCTTGAGCGGAAGCGTAGGTGTTGCTCCTGAAAGATATCCAACTGGAAACTGAAGGACTTCTGAAACCTACACCTACTCCTCCTTTCACATGAACTCTTTCATTTAATTGAAGATGCAGGATTCGAAGACATGAATATCGATGATGCGTGAGAATTGTTTGAAGATAAAGGCATGGATAACGAATTGTTATTTGAAACTTATTTCTCTTAAGAAACTGAATATATAAATCATTTAACCAGAGAAAAATTAGAAAAAAGATTTGCATATAGTATTAGCAGCTTTGAATCGTAAATTCCAATTCGCTCATAGAAAGACCGTGGAAAAAATACTTTTACCTACATATAAAAATGCTTTTAAAGGAACTAATCAATCGCATACTCATTTTTTGGCCAAGCAAAAGGAGCAGCACAAAAAAGATTTTTAGCATGAAAACGGCTTATAATTAGATTAAATTTTAAATTAAAATGTAAAATTATTAAAATTTGAATTCAAAATTGAGCTGCTATAACCTTTTTTACGTACAAAATACTTGCCTATTTAAAAAGATTAATCTATTAATGATACAAAATTAACACTTGGAGATTAATCTGTTAATCATAATAATTCAACGCTTGGAGATTAATTTGTTAATGATAAAAATGCAACACTTGAAGTAACTTTATGTAAATTTTAAAAAATTATGGTGTCTTAATTGCAGCGGAAATTTAAACAGCAACATTTTTTTTTGTGCATTTGTCGAAATCAAGGAACGTAAGCCCATATTTTGTGTGGAGTCCAGGTCGAGGTTTTCTAGGAACGCAAACCCCGTGTTAAAAGAGGGCTAGGTATATTCTTGTTTCACATTAAAACTGGTAACGAAGTCGTGGTTTGTTAAGATTGGGAGAACTCTAATGTTAATCTAGAATTTTTCTGGCTGTTAAATGCTATTAGCGTTATGCTATTTTTGTATTTTTCTGCTGCATTACTTACTCAAAACATAGAACGTTAAAATGGCGCGAGTTCGACTTCTGTATTCCCTATACCCATCCCTTTCCCCACAGTCCTCTATATAGACTGCACGACTAATGAAGCGATACTTAAAAAAGGCTATTTGTTTCTCTATCCCACAATAAAGTGATAATTCTTGTCTGTGTTTAGTGTAATATTTAACCAACCAAATCGCTCATTTAGTATAACAATTGTTTGGTTTTTTTTATTGTTCTTTACAGTGTTGGAAAGTGGGCCGCCCAGTTCGGAGATGAGTTGTGGGAACTGGCGCAGCGCATGACCAAATCGCAGGAAATTAAGGAGGTAAGTTGCAATTAAATAGTAATTAATTGAGCGTTTGTTGAAGCAATTGGGAAACCCATAGAAATACCGGGAATACAATGCACGCGTTGAGGAGAAAAATGGCACAGAACTCATTCAATCGATTACGGCGAATGTGGGAAAAATGTTGGCGCGCAAAATGGACGCAGTCCGTTGTATTCAGGAGAAGGCGGAGTCGGCCAATAAGAACTTTGAGTTTAACTTCACGCAGGCCCTGGAGGAGGTCAAGTATTATTCCAGCAAGTATTCCGCCTTCAATGGAAATCGATCGGAGGAGCTGCTGGAGGGCATGCAGATATATGAGGATATGTATTTAAATTTGACGCTCAACCCGGACACGCACTTCTATAACATTTCGGTGGATACACAGCACAGTGCCGTGCATGTGCCTTCCAATGTCTACGATCGTAGTCCGCGCGTCCTGAAGACTATAGCGTGGTCCGATCAACTGGATGAAGTGTTTCGTCAGAATTATCAGTCGGATCCTGCATTGTCTTGGCAATACTTTGGATCCGATACGGGTATTTTGCGACACTATCCCGCCTCACAGTGGACGGACGGACGAGTTAAGAAGTTGGATGCGGACACGTACGATTGTCGCAAGCGTTCGTGGTATATCGAGACAGCCACTTGTTCCAAAGATATTGTCATTCTGATGGATCATTCGGGCTCCATGACGGGCTTTCGCAGTCATGTGGCCAAGTTTACAATTCGCAGCATACTGGACACCTTCTCGAACAATGACTTCTTCAACATATATAGCTACTCCGCTTCGGTAGAGGACATAATACCTTGCTTTAGTGATGCCTTGGTGCAGGCCACCCCCGAAAATATAAACGTTTTCAACGATGCCATTGCCAATCTGCCCGACCCGGAGGGTTATGCGAATGTTACGTTGGCTTATGAGAAAGCGTTCCAGCTTTTGCGCAAATATTATGTACAAAGGCGTTGCAATGAGACCTCCACCTGCAATCAGGCCATTATGTTGGTTACGGATGGTGTGGCCGGCAATACGACCGATGTTTTCGAGAAGTATAATTGGGGCAATGGCGAGAATGGCACTTCGAACATGAATGTGCGGGTGTTCACATATCTGCTGGGCAAGGAGGTGACCAAGGTGCGGGAAATCCAATGGATGGCCTGCCTAAATCGTGGCTATTACTCCCATGTGCAAACGCTGGACGAAGTCCACGAAGAGGTGCTTAAATATGTAGATGTTATAGCCACACCGCTGGTTTTGCAGGAGGAACAGCATCCACCGACCTGGACGCATGCCTTTACGGACAAGACGGTGAGTTGCTGAGGAAAAATTGCAGTTATCATGTCTCTATATACTTCCTCTCTATCAGTATGATCCGAAAAACTCTACCGAGCGCAGACCTCGTCTCATGATAGCTGTGGGCGTGCCCGCCTTTGATGATTCCTACAAGAATAGCACCATGAGGCGAGCACGTCTCCTGGGTGTGGCTGGCACGGATGTGCCCGTTGAAGATATCGATAAGCTTACATTGCCCTACAAGGTAGGTTTCTACATAAGTTCAAGGCGCCATTTTTCTGAAGGTTTTATATTCTAGCTCGGGGTCAATGGCTACTCCTTTGTGGTGTCCAACAACGGCTACGTACTCCTCCATCCCGATCTACGCCCTATTGGTGTAAGAATGCTACAAATACCGAAATCCAAATTCTAAACTGTTCACGCACTTTCAGTCCAATGGTAAAATGAATCCCAACTATAATAGCATAGACTTTACGGAAGTAGAGCATCTCTTTGAGGACAACAGTCCCCGAGAGCCGGGAGAATCAATTCTACAGCTTCGCAGCGCCATGGTGCGTCATAAATCGGGCGAATTTAAGGATATTCCCGTCAAATTTCACTTCGACAACATGCGTCGTGTGTCGGAAGAGAAGCAGGATTATTTCTTCGCACCGCTGCCAAATACGCCCTTCTCCCTCGGCATCGTATTACCCAGTAAATATGGCAAAACCTGGATAAAAGTGAGCGAAGAAGTAAAGAAGAATACTTATATGAACGTTAGCATATCGGATTTCTTCAAGGGAGAAAACTGGAAGGTTCACCCGGATTGGTAAGCTACTTAAATATCCAGATTAAATTGAACTATTTTGATCCAAAATATTTGTTTAGGGTCTACTGCAAATATCATTATCTGGAGGGGCACGAGTTCAGGACACCCGAAGCCGAATTGCGAGAATTTCTTGGCAAAATGGTCAAGCCCGACTGGAAATGGGCCGAGCAATATGCCGAGGATGAAAATAATGAGTCCAGCGACTGTATGTAACCCAATTACTGAGAATACATATCTTAGTTATTATAGTTGTATTATTTAATTTTTTTTCAGTAAATTGCGGCCGCAAAACTCTGGGCGATGATGCCTACTACTGTAACCAAGAGCTGGTCCATTTGCTGGTTTTCGATGCCAAGGTCACAAATTCTAGTTACGGTGAATGGAAATTCGAGAATGAAGAGGAGAAGGCTTTAATCGAAAGCTTCGGTGCCACACTGCGCTTTGTGGCCACCATGAGCGGCTTGACGCGTTGGCAATTCATTTATGGCGAGGTGGAAGTGGACAACGATCAGGAATTCGGCGACTACCATACAACATCTATTGATGAGACTTGGTATAAGAGCGCCATACTGCAGCACCATCAGGAGCGCGACAGCTTTGTCTACTCGGTCAAGCACTACAACGATCCCGCCCAGGATGCCGAACTGAAGGTCACCGCCTCGCACGCCATTTTTCCACGCGATGGAGTCAAGGAGGCGCCCGCTTGTGTCGTCGGCTTCCAATTCTCGCATGCGCGCATGATGGAGCGCTTCTTTAACATCACAGCCGTAGATAATGTAAGTTTATTTATCGTTAAGTATATATTCAAAAGATATCCAAATTGTTCTATAATATTATTTATTTGATTTGAGTTATTTATCCATTCATTACTTACAGTGCCATGGCTGTTTACCCACCTGCATGGACGACGATATAGATTGCTATGTGATCGACACGAATGCTTATATTGTGGTTGGACAGAATATTAATAGCACCGGCAAATTCTTTGGTGAATACCATGGGGATGTCATGGCTGCGATGGTGGAGAAGAATATATACCAAAGCATAGATGTCTACGATTATCAGCAGCAATGCCGACTGGATTTGGATTTGTCCAGCGATGGACATATTTTATTGCATGTAAGTAAAGCTTGGCAGAAAGTTCCTAAAAAAGCCCAAAAGTAAAGGAAGTCTATTTTAAAAATAATTGTTAAACTAATTTAAACAAAATCCTGATACTAAGAGACACATAATTGTTATTAAAACACATTTATTATATCGCTTTACAGCCGATTCGCCTGCTCAGTCTGGCTTGGAAATGGTTGGTTGCTCAGCTTTTCTGGCAATATCAAAAGTTCCAATGGTGGGTCGATGGTGCGCCTTGTAAGTAAACCGGAAAAGCATATAGATTTGAATTGAGTATAAAGAATGTTAAAATTTCCTAAACCTTCTTCTTAGTTCTGGACTATTTGGACGATATTGAGGACGAATATGTGGCTGTGGGTCCTAATGGCCCAGCGGCTGCCAAACCCAAAGAGGAATCCGATGAGGGGGATGCCAAATTTCAAGAGCCCGAACCGGAACCCATCTACAAGCCCTGCGACATGCGCTCCACATTGTATGCGCTTCAACCCAAGGCGCTCGATAAAATTAACGACGTCATAGAAATGCCGTCAACGCGTCCATTTCTGGTCAAGAAGATAACCAACTCTAATTTGGTATTAATTGTGGTTAATGTATTGATGCCTTCGCGTGTCGTACACCTCACCACCGAGCCACAACGCATTGAGGACTATGAGCTGGACTTTCCCTGTTATAAACTGAATATGAGTTTCTACGAGCGACGACGAATTGAGGAATGCTTTACAGAACATCCTGACGTAAGTTAAATAATTTAATTTATGATAAATCCACTAACATGCCACACTTTTTCCAGGAGGAACTTTTTACCTATTGCGGCAAATCCTCGCGGCTTAGTCTTGCACTTCAGCTGCTGCCATTGACCTTGATTTTGATGTTCTTTTGGACGCGCCACTTTTTGCGTTTCTAGTCCTGCAAAGTGTTTCTAGTTATATATACAAACCTAGTTTCGTTTTCTAGACTTTACACAATTATATAGTTCAATACTAGTCAAAAGTTTAACAGCAACCTTTACCAACAGCACAACAATGTATAAACAGCAAAAATTTAAATGAAAAATGCTAGGCATGTAATCGGGGGATGCGGATCAAAAGTTCGAAGACAGGCAATATTAAGGGTATGGCAATTATTTGTGAAAAATGTGGGAAAAATCACAACTTAAATTATTATTTTCTTAACTATTTTTTTAGTGCCACTTTGTCTGCTCGCCAACCCCTGTTTTGTTTTTATGTAAACATTAAGCTTAAAGCCCGCGTTTCAGAAACAGTTTTAAAACATAGTTTTAAATGTTCAAATTGAAAAATCTATGCCAAATGTGTAACAAGCGTCATAACGTGTTGATGATGACAATTATTTTTGTAATTTTATAAAATTAGTTGGATCTTTTATAAAAAAACAAACAAACAACAAAACTGAACCAGTAAACAAATAATGCATCCAGAAACAAAAAATATAGTCAATAATATTTACACATACTATTAAAAGCAAACAAAGAATCCAACCGAAGAACATCTTGAGTCTTTCAAAATTCATTAGCTTTTTTGTATACAATCAAAAGAATTATAATTACGATTTTTCAACAAGACAAAGTAAGAGGAGTGTTATTATATATACTATATTTCTTAATGTTTATATAGATATTCAATTATGTTTTATACAATATGTGTATATATATGTATGCGTGTTTGTAACGTTTTTGTATTGTAATGTATTTTGTGAGAAGCATAAATTTTGTTTTTCGCACTCTACTCGTAAATAGGACCACCTGGCGATTTTGGAATTCTATTTCCTAATTACTGCCTCCTAAAAGCAAAAGTCTTAAAACTTGTTTAAGTTAAAAAACAAAAACAAAACCAAAACCAAAAACCAAAACATTTGTTAACAATTTATTGTGTTTCTCGACTTCTAAGCTACCGACACAAACTTAGTAACATAGAAACAAAAACCTAAATGCCTTTGTATTTCGAATGTGGAAACATTTTATGAACTTTATGAATTTAGACAATGAAGGAAAACCAATTTAAAATTATACTTGTACGATTATGTATAAGCGTAAGTATATACACTGTTTATTTGTTGTTCTTTTTCTAATTGAAAACTAAATGAAATCAAAATGAAGTGCGGTCGTTGTCGGGTAAGTGGAACAGCGCGAAATTTGAATGCAAACAGTTAACTATTAAATGTAATTAAATAATATGCAATTAAATGTTTTTATGGATTACTGTGTAACATAATATTTATTTTTTGGAGTGTTTAAACGTTGTAAAGTGTATGAACAATTAACTTCTACTAGCAACAAATGTACTGTTATTCATGGTTTTGCTGGAAAATTCTTGACCTGATTTCAAACTCATAACATAATTTGCACAAAAACACTTCAAACGGCAATCTATAGCTTTGAAGTGCGCTTCTCTGTATTTTCAAGCTGCTACAGCAAAGCCATGTATTAAATTTATAGTTAAAGAAGCTACAAGTCCATTTAGCAAAACCAACATTTTAAAATGTCATTAACAAAACAAATATTTATATATAAGAAAAATTCTATTGAAATTTTGATGTTTAAAACAGAGAAAAGTTTCGAAAGTTATCAAAACAAAAAAGGTGTAAATTACGCTTAATAAGTAAATAAAAATACCAGTTTATGATTAAAAATAAATATGTAATTCTAAAATTCATTTCGATGGGAATCCAGCATTTTTAGTTCCTAATCAGCAAAAACAAAACCAAGCCAAAAAATAAAAAAAAAAATGTAATTTATAAAATTATTTAAACAAAAATGAATGCTTGGCCCAACTCTTAGATAGCCAGCACAAACTCCTTCAATAAAAAAAAAACATTAAAAATATTTTTGAAATAAATATTAACACATACATACATATATATGTAAATATTTAACACATAGGTATGTAGAAATATACTTGCTTATATACCCTTTCAAAAGCACACATCGGGATTGTGTTTTTGAATGCCTTTGCGTGTCTATGTTTATGTTTTATTATGACGCCATTCTGTCTCGTCAACAACTGTGACGATTTTGAAGAAAGAGGAAGCATGCGCTAACAGAACTGTACAGGATCTGTTATACGTACATATGTACGTACATGTATGTTAACTTACATTTACATACTGATCAGAAAAATTCTTATATGATTTTCTAATTAGGTACTGGATATAAAATAAAACTTTGCATAACTCTTGGGGTGAATGCATTTTATAACCTTTTACGAATTACATTTTTATGATGCAGATTATACGATTATATACGAAATTATATCAAAATAGTATGTACATATGTTTATTTGTAATTTTGGGTAAAAGTCGCAAAGTATTCTTTCTCCTTCTCGTAACCGTTTCATTCACAATACTTCGATAATTTTTGCAAATTCACACCTCCTTCTGATATCGATTACAAAAGCTAAGGAACTGGGGTAACTCTAGCATGAAAGGAGCACCGTCATTGACTGCTCGCTTGTCTTTATTGACTGACGTCGTTTCGAATTGAAGCTACAAATTTATTCTAGCTCTGCAGTTTAACTATTGTATTAAAAAGTACATCTATTTAAAATGTCTTCCCGTTACGATCGCGCTGTAACCATTTTTTCACCTGACGGACACCTCCTCCAAGTTGAATATGCACAGGAAGCCGTAGGCAAAGGAACAACAGCTGTAGGAGAATTTCGCCTCTAATATTCATACAAATTCTTACTAATTACTTTCTCAATTAGGTTGGCGTTCGTGGCGGTAACTGCGTTATTCTGGGTGTGGAGAAGAAGACGGTGGGAAAACTTCAGGAGGATCGTACGGTGCGTAAAATATGCTCCCTGGACCAGCATGTTGTGATGGCCTTTGCTGGCCTAACAGCCGATGCACGCATCCTTGTGAACCGTGCGCAGGTCGAGTGCCAGAGCCATCGTCTGAATGTCGAGGATCCGGTTACTGTGGAGTACATTACCAGGTTTATCGCTAAGATGAAACAGAAGTACACGCAGAGCAATGGGCGCCGCCCGTTTGGCATATCGTGCCTTATCGGTGGCTATGACTCGGACGGCACATCGCACTTATTCCAAACTGAGCCTTCGGGCATTTTCTACGAATGGAAAGCCAATGTTACGGGCCATTCGTCGAAGGTCGTGCGCGAGTTTTTCGAGAAGAATTATAGCGACGAAAACGTAGCCACCGAGGAAGGAGCTGTTAAGCTCGCCATCCGCGGTCTCCTCGAGGTGTCTCAATACGGACAAAATAATTTGGAGATAGCCATAATGGAAGACAAGAAACCGCTAAAAATGTTGGATCACAAAGTTATTGCCGACTACGTGAGCATTATTGAAAAGGACAAGGAAGAGGAAATCAAAAAGAAGCAGAAGAAGTAAATGATGAAGAAATTGACATGAGAAAACCTAAAGAAGAAAATTAGGTTAAACATTCCTATCCTGAACCGACATTAAACACCAAATAGCAATGGATAATCGAAAGATTGATACTCATACATCACACGTTTTTATACATTGTTGATATATGTTTGATTCATGATACATATATGTACAACGCCGTAAACTCATTAAACTCCAAAATATACTATTCAATTTTCCGACTAATAACTTTTTACCTTCTATAATACTTTGTCTTCAGTTTTAAGACACTGGGCGGTGGCGGAATAACCCATTCAACGGTTCTTTTTTCAGTCGTAGATGGTGATCAAACGCGAATAAAAAGTAAAAGCGAGTCCAAGTTTAAATAGAATTTGTTCTTTTCCCATTGCTCATATGCCACCTAATTTGGAGTTACGGAAATTTTCGGAAATGAATGGAATTGGCAAAAAGGAAACTCACTTTTAATTTGCTCTACAAATTCATTTTCATGCAAAAATACTGAACTAAGCTTAATACGCACAGCAATAAACACTTTACACTTAAATAGAATCAGTCTAATATTGCATTGAAACATACGCGAACGTCGCTCACAACGTTTTCTCCAGCTTCTTCGTCTTCTCCTGCTTTAGGGGAACAATGTCCCATGCCCCGCCACTTCCCCCGGATTTGCTGCACAAATCTAAGCTGAGTGCTGCACCAATTTCTGGGGTCGCAGCTCGCAAGCAAGTGCCCTTGGCCATATTATAAACGGGACTGTTGGCATTTCTTGTGTGCCGCCACTGCTGATCTCCCAGCATTTCGTGGCATTTGTTGATGATAACCAGCGCATCGCCGGCCGCTTCCAAGCACAGCAGTTTGTCCAATATTATTTCGGACTTCTCTGTCTCGTACCATAATTGATTGGGCGTTCGCCGGCAGGGCTGCAGAGTCAAGGTGCTGCCCTTTTTCCAGAACCCTTTTACCTTGGGCGCTGTTACGGACGCACACAGTTCCGTGCCCGTCAATTGCAGTAGATAGGAATCGATATAGTTACGTTTGCGTGAGTGCCACGGCTGGAATACAGGAGCAACTGCCGATTTCTTTACCTCCTCACCGGGCACGTGTAACTCCGGATATACGTTTTGTAAGTACCAAGCGAAGTCGTGGCATTTCAAACGCTCCCGCAGCTGTAAACGAGCGCTTATATCGCCATAATCGTACTCCTTGGGTACCTTTTCATGCTTCAGATAATAATCCTTGTACTTGTCCATCCAGACATGCGCCAAACGCAGCTATTTGAAAAATTCTCCAATTATATAAATATTTGCAAATATAACCGCATTTCTACTTACAGAATTCTTTAACATAGTATTTGCACCATCGGGCGCCGTGTAGGGGCGACGCTTACGAAAGATGTGTCCAACGCGCGAGCATGGCACAATTTTAATGGCTCCGCCACATTGCCAGACACGGAATGAGATCTCGATATTCTCCCCACCCCATATATCCATGGCCATGTCGTACTCGCCGATGTGTTCAAAGTAAAGGCGGCTCACGGCAAACAAGCCGCCAGCCATGGTGGGCGAACGAAAGGGCCCCTTGAAATCCTCGGGACTCTTCAATGTGCCCTCCGGCAAATTCTCCCAACGAAAATGCAGTCCCCAATTGAAGCCGCCGCGTACCAGTGGGCTGGGTGTGTACTCAAAAGTGTCTGCATTGATAAGGTCGATGACTGGAACGGCCAGGGTGGTGTTCTCGGCTTTGATCAGACGCAGCAGGGGCTCCAGCCATTGCCGATTCACCTATGGATGTAATTTAAAGTAGACATGCTATCATTGTTTCTCTGCAGCACACAAACACAAACCTCTATGTGGGAGTCTAGGAACACTAAAACAGCCCCGTTGGCATTGCGGGCTCCAATCACCCGAGATCTAATCAAACCCTCGCGCTTATCATTGCGCACATAACGCAAATTGTCATACTTGAGGCGAGCATGCAAATCGGCCAGCAGATGAAACTCCAGTTCGGGTAAATCGCTGTTGTCATCCACCAGTATGATCTCCTTGAGCAGGTGGGCGGGCGTGCGCTCCAGTACTGATTTAATAGAGCGCATCAGCGTCATTTTGTGCTCATTGTAAAAACACATTATTATGGAAGCCTGTGGCAGCTCCTCATCCGGGGTTGTGACTGTGCGATCGCACACTTTGTGACGCGTGTCGGGTATTTCGCGATATAGTCCAATGTTATTTGAGACGAGCGCATTGAAGGCATGATGTTTGTAGCCAATGTCACGTATATATTTGTCCTGTTTGTTTCGCACCACGCCCAAAAGATCGAACTGATCTGCTGCCGGAGCCACACTGCCATTACTGGCTGCGGCCTTCATGTCTGTGGACGATGTGCAGCCAACCGTGACACGTTGTTTATAGCTGAGCTCTGCTTTGGGCGTTGCATTTGCATTGCTGCTGAAACGCCAACCTGCCGCCTCAATGGAACTCCGCAGCATATACATGTAAATCAGAATACAAGTCAGCCACACACCCGCTATAAGCAAAGTGCTCAAGGAGCAGGATTTGCAAAGCAAGCGCTTAACTTGTATCATCATTTTTGTTTAGACGCGTTAAGAGGTCTGCTTCCGCTTTGGATGTTCGTTTACGTTCGCGTGTTTTGCTTTTTATTTCGTAACTGCATGGCTTTGGCTTTAGCTAACAAACCGGATTTCTGTGCTGTGGCTCATCAAACCTAATTTAATTTCAATTAATTTGCATTTAGCCTTATTCACAATAGCACAGATGCGTGCAACAGCTGTGTAACTGGCCATCATTAGCGTTGCCACCCTGCCGAGGAGTAGTTGTCTGAACGAGCCGCAGTGGAATATTCATAATGTAGGTTTTTATTCAGCTACACCAAACCAATTAATGCATATATCATGTAAATGGGAAATTGTATCGCTATCATTTTATGAATACCATTTCTTTATTAGTTCATTAATTCGTTTACATATTACAATTTTGTGAGAGTTGCGACATTTCATTCAATAAATAAATAAAACTCCAATTGTATATGTACAAGAACTTGCATATTTAATAATGAATTAATTATTGCAAACAAAAACAAATATAGGTATATAATAATATTTCAACATTTATGTATGTATATGTACGCAGGTAAATGAGAAATCAAATGCAGAAATTAATCTAAAAAATTAAATTTTACAACAGAATTGTTTTTACAAGTTATGAAATAACATATTAATGTATTTATACGAGAGATGCAAATGCAAAATTATTAAATACACATATCTTAACATGTCAAGCCCACTAACAATCGAGAATTTCGAGAAATTTGCATTGCAGTTTCAATAACCTTAAGATTGGAGCTACCTGGGATACCAAATGGTAAAATTATGAGTATGAATATTTTCAGTTTTATAAATTCAAAAAAAGTCAGGACCAGCAAAAAGTTTTTGGTTTTGAAACAAAACGGGGCATTGAATTTTACAGAGCCATTTAAACCATTTTATAATTTCATAACAATAATAATTATAAACTTGAAGTGCAGTCTTAAAAACAATATAAAATCATTGAAGACTATACATCAAGAATTTAGAGGTGTATAAAGAGAAGTTATTTTTAACAAATCGCCAGCCAAAATCGATCGATATCTAATTTTCTATTCACCAAACCACGGTACTACGCATTATAAATTTTATACTAAACGAACATTTCCTACCAGTTTACACCCACAGCTGGTGCTGATTTGTTACTACATTCAATTTATATACTTAGATATATATTTATATATGTGTGTATATATAAATATGTATGTATACTTGCATTACGCTTGTCATATGGTATCGTATATTTTGCATTGCGTTGTTTGTTTACAAATCTTGTTGTTCACACACTTTACGACTTAAACGAATCATTTAACTACATTTGTTTTCTTTTGTTTCCATTGCATATTCCTTTCATATGTTTAGAAGATAGATAAGAAATTAAGATTACGAGTTGCGCTAAAATAAAATTTAGATTTGTATATCTATGTTTATGTATATATATAAAGTATAGTGTATATATGTGTGTACGTTTAAAGTTAATTCATTTAACACGAGCACTGATCCTTAACATTCGTTGCCTCGCTGCTCAGCGATGTTCGACTCGGCTGCGATGGTCGATGCTGTACACCCGATTCTGACGCATTCAGATCCAGACGACCCTCCTGAATGTTCTGATAGATTTTCCGTGCGGTTTCTAGAAAAGCCTCCTCCACATTTTGGCCCCTGTATGCAAAGCAAATGCATTATTAAGAGCTTCCATTAAGATTCATTGAATAAATAAATAAAACTTACGTCATTGCACTGGCTTCCAAAAACATTAGACCATTTTCGTCGGCAAACTCTTTGGCCTCCTCGTAGGTCACCTCGCGCGTGCTCTCCAAATCGGATTTATTGCCAATTAGAAAGATCACAGTGCTGGGATTTGTGAGATTACGCGTATCGGTCAACCAGCTGCTCAAATGATTGTAAGTGGAGCTGCAGATTGAAGGTATACTTATTAGATGACATTCTCAGAGAACTAATCACAATTCAGCGTACCGTCTGGTTATATCATACACCATCAACGCGCCAGCTGCACCGCGATAATAAGAGCGTGTTACCGCACGAAAACGTTCCTGACCAGCTGTATCCCAAATTTGTAATTTAATTTTCTTATCATCGACTTCAATGATTCGAGTGCCAAACTCCACGCCAATTGTGTGCGGACAATTGGCCATGACTATAATTTTAAACAAAAAGTTTAAATAATGTATATTTTGCAGCGTAAGAATTTCTTATGGCCTTTTGGCACTACGCTAAACACTAGACTACAAGTTCGGATTGACTGTGGAAAAGCGTGAAAAAGTTGTCCGCTCGATTCTATTTTTGACACTGCACTTCGAAGTTGTAGTTGTTTTTAGTCTAATTTCCAAATGCCATTTAAGATTGGGCTTTCCAGAAATCAAAAGTAAACTATACTTTTATTTTCTTTAGGATAAATGGTTTGGTTTTAAAAATTGTACAAACTTTTTCTGAGCGAGGTTTTTGAATGACCAAACACTGCATGAAGAAGTTATTCGATTTTGGAAATTAAGAGGGAATTCTTTAGATGGTCTCATTGGTTTAAAACAAACATTTTGTATAGAGCATGATGGCCCGCTAAAGTTACGAACATGTTTATTTAAAATTATTAATTTAAAATTATTAAAATTAACCCCTTTTTTAAAAAATATCTAAAATATTGTTTGACAAATAATGCACTCATAACATTAAAATTGCAATCTATCAATAGCAGCTGTTTTAACGACAATCTAAATAAATAGGATGGAATAATTTAAAACTCGAATGAAGAGAAGCTTTTGCTTCACTCAAATATTCATAAATAATATATAAGATTAATATTTCAATTGCGATTATTTTATTTCATTTCACATTTCTACGAGTAGCCAGGAAAGTTTCTAACTAATTCTATGACCTTAAACCTATGTAGCTCACTCACATTTCTTCTCCGTAAATTGATGCAAGAGGCAGGATTTACCCACGCCCATGTCTCCAATGATAATGTATTTGAATATATAGTTGTAATTATATGGGGCAGCAGTCATATTGGGACCTGTAACGATAAGAACACACAGATGTAGATTAGCCACAAAGTAACGATGCATTTATTTATTTTTTTTATAAATCCCACATTTTTCAATGAGGTAATCAATGCGTTCATGCAACTTATTCACAACACCACGCATTTTCGTCATCCGGACGTCCATTTTTGCTGACTTCGAAACCAAAATAACAACCCGGCCCTCTATTTATAAAAACCACTACTTGAATTGCTGTGCTTATCATAAAATTGTAACGCTGCATTAATTCGTTTCGTGGTGGTTATTTTTGTGGCGACAGTTGATGTCGAAGTCGTAGTCAGAATCGTAAGTTTCACTTGGTTCTGAGTCTTTGGGGCACCGAGCCACGGTTTCGTGGAGTTCTGCCCCCAATACTGTATACTGCATGTGTTTAAACAGCAGGCCAGCAATTTTTTATTTTGTTTATTTGCTGAGCTTAAACGGAACCTCTATTGAATGAGCTATTCTTACTTAAAGCGACACTTGACAACTTTTTCGGGAGTTAATGATCTTTCCCTCAACTAGTTAACATTTAGCTCTACTCGAATTTAGTTGCACTTTGGAATAATAATAATAATAAACAGTAATGTCTAATAAAGTTACAACAAAAACAATAAGTTATAACAGAGAGAACATATTTGGCGAAATATATTTGAGATGAACTGAGAGCTAAACGTTTATTTATTTACTCTCGACTTAATAACTCACAACACAAATTTATTAGCCGTATAATGTTTTGGTATTGAGAGCGAAATTAATTCGTGAAATTTAAAGAAAAGAACATAAATTATTTGCCGTGTTGAAACCAGTTCAATAAACTTGAATCTAAAGTCAAAGTTGGTCATCTAAAAAAATCAAATAATAAACAAACAATGAAGTATAGACTTATAGTTTATCTACAGAATAACTTTTTATATAGACTTCCGTACAATTAATTTATGAATATACATACTTAGATAACATTTGCGCTTATCAGCTATTAGTGGAGCCCATCGACATAGTAAGTCGTCCGTAAAAACAGTGAAAGCGTTGTGTAGAATTAAATGAGAAACTCAACTGAGATAAACGATGGCTGAAAAAGTTGTCACAGCATCGCAATAACTGAATAAAATTAAAATATAAGCAGATGAACAGGGAGAATTGCGCAAGCAAAAATGTGCAAGCGATGCGTGCAGAAAATAACGGAACAAATAATGAATTGGGGGTGTAGTTAAGTTTTATCAATTGCTATACGGCAACAACAATAACGCGAGTAAGGGAAAGTAGTCATGGCTCGACGACCCTCCCTCTTCCATTCTCTGCCATAACAGGGCCCTTTGCAAATTTATTTATGTATTTATTTGTTTATATACAGTATGTGCATGTAATAAAGTTTGCTGCGCTTGTAATTGGCTTAAAAGCTATATTTAAGTGTTAGAGCTGTGCCAGCATATTACTCACCGTTTTCTGTTTATTTTCGTATATGTATATAACTTGAGACTAGAAATGTAGGGCGAAAACGAGAAAAAGGGCGGCGGGTGCGGGTGCGGGTGTCTGCCTAATTGCAGGCCAATTTGTAGGCTTTGTCCCCTTCTAATATTTCAATAAGTTTAATATGCAGACGTCCCACTAATAATGCGCACAAAGCTTGTGCTAAATTGCGGCGATATTCACGTGAATTTATTTATTCTTTCTTGTTTGTTAGTATTTGTTTTTGCTAATTGCGCGTTTGTTTTTGTTATTTCGCAAATGTTAGACGAGCTGTAATTTTGCTATGATTGGCATTGACAGCGCATTTGCAGTAAGGCAACACTAAACGTTTTCTTTATTTTATAGCACACGGCAAGGAATGATATTAAATTTATTTAACAAATTTTAGCACTTTAATTATGGATTTCTAAATAGACACCATGTTTTTTTTCACTATTCGTCATTTGCGTTAGTCCCGAGCTGGAGTTGCCAGACGGCGATTGCACGCACAGCTGTTGGCCCGCAGTCACAATAGTATGGCCGATGCTATTGTGAATTTGCAAACCCAGCTCCTTTTCAAAACACGTGTAGCAGCAGCATTAAGTTGTGCTGTTTGTTTATGTTTAATTTCGCTGAATTAAGATAACATGAATTAATAATGTTCGTCAGCGAGGTGAACGATGTGAAAATCTACAATTTAAGCGCGGGCAAATCTGTGCCAGATGTAAGTACCTATATTCCTGTGTGGCGTTTGTGGCATTTCGTTAACTTCTGTTGATTGGTTGTCCAGTGGCTTACAGATCGCCGGAAGCGCGCGCGGCTGATGAAAAAGGTCGACTCACGACGGCAAATCGAGTTGATACAGGACTTCGATATGCCCGGCGTGTGTACAAGCATACGCATGAGCCCCGATCATCAATATATTCTAGCAACGGGCACGTACAAGCCTCGCGTAAAATGCTTCGAAGTTTCCAATCTGTCCATCAAGTTCGAACGCTGCTTTGACTCGGAGGTGACCACTTTCGAGGTAATTAGCGATGACTACAGCAAGATGGTGTTTCTTCAATGTGATCGCTATGTGGAAATTCATGCGGCACATGGCCGTCACTACAGATTACGCATACCTAGATTTGGACGCGACATGAAGTACCATAAACCTAGCTGTGATATGTACATAGTGGGTGTTGGCAGGGTAAGTGCATATATTAGGATACCTATGCAATTCGATTAACTTGATTGCTTGCAGGATATTTACCGCCTCAATCTGGAGCGTGGCCAATTTTTACAGCCCTTTGAGACGGAATCAAGTACCCTGAATGCCTGTGAAGTCAATCCGGAGCATCATTTGCTTGTCGTAGGCACCAAGGAGGGTACTGTGGAGGCATGGGATCCGCGCATGAAGCAACGCTGTGCCACACTGGATGTTGCCATAAAATTGCCTGGTCTCAAGGAGTTTCCATCGGTCACTGCGTTGAAGTACAGGAATGGGCTGCAAATGGGCGTGGGCACCGCCTCTGGACACGTGCTGCTCTACGATATACGTGCCAAACAACCAGTGCTGATTAAGAATCACTTGAATAAGTTGCCCATTAAACGATTGGCATTCAATCCCGCGCAAAATGCTGTCTACAGCTTAGATGAAGCTACACTGAAGCTGTGGGATGAGCAGACAGGGAAACAAATTGCATATATCGAATCCACAACATCATTCAATGATTTCTGCACAATTCCCGATACGGGAATGTTCTTTTTGGCGCAGGAAGATGTGAAAATGTTGACTTATTATGTTCCTGCAATGGGTCCAGCACCTCGTTGGTGTTCATTCTTGGATAACCTTACCGAGGAAATTGAATCTGAGGTGGTGGAAAATGTGTACGAGGACTATCAGTTTGTGACACCAAAGGAATTGGCGGAATTGGGCATGGAGCACCTCATTGGCACAAATTTACTGAAGGGTTCTATGCATGGGTATGTCGACAGTGTAATAAAATCCAACAAATATACATTTATTTTATCACTTCCTTTCATAGTTACTTTATGAATGTGCGTCTGTACAATAAGGCGAAGGCTGTTGTAGAACCCTTTGCCTTTGATCGGTTCCGCAAAGAGAAAGTACGTCAGGAAATTGAAAGTGAACGACAGTCTCGACTACAAATCAAATCCAAATTGCCCAAAGTCAATCAGGAACTGGCGCTTAAGATTATGGACGAGCAAAGCAATCCCTCGAACAGTGCCAAGAAGCAGAATATGCCAAGCTTACTGGAGGATTCACGTTTCAAGGCCATGTTTGAAAATACCGATTTTGCTGTTAACAAGCAGGCAGAGGAATATAAACTATTGGCACCCGTGCTTAATCGTCTGGATAAATCTAAGGCCAAAGAGATCAAGCAACGTATTGAGGTGGCCCGTGTAGCTGAGCTGCATGCAGAGGAGGCTCAAACGCGGGCGGATAGCGACAACGACGAGGATCTATTTGGCTTTGAAAAGAGCGACAATGAGGACGGAGCGGCCAGCAGTGCCGACGAAGCATCCTCTGATGATGAGGATAGACGTGCATATGTCAAGGAAATGAAACAGGCCTACAAGCAGGTGAAACAAGAACGCGACCAGGCCGAGGAGTCAGCAGATGAAGCACAATCCGACGCTGAGCCCGACGGCCCCGACGACTACGCAGCACCTTTAACAAATGGACACACAACGACACAAACCAATGGCTCGCACTTCACCATGAAGCCACTAGAAGATACACAAGGCAATAGCGTGTTGCATAATCGCATCAAGCAAGTCAGTCTGCAGGACCGTGTACGCGTGATGAGTAACCTCGACGGCCAAGTGACCAATGTGGGTCGCTCTCTGGGCAATCGGCAGATGACATTCGAGCTAAATAAACAAAAGAAAGCGCAATTCAATGCACGGAAACGAGAAGCGGAAATGAAAAAGCATCGCGACGAGAGGCGAAGCATCATCAGGCCAATCAAATCGTTGAGGTTAAAGAAAGTTAACTTTAAGTAAACAATTGAGAAAGTTTGTCTATAGCCGGCAATAAACATAGATATTAAAAATTGATAGAAACATCCAGTTCAAGGATTTGTTTTATTTGCTTAAGAGGTTTTTAAATTTTGCCAATTGCTCCATGGTTAGGCCCTCGTCTAGCTCTTCAATATCAAGTTCCGGTACATCGGTATAGAACATCATGTCATCCATAAGAATATTAGATTCGACTTGCCCTTTCTCATTTATTTCAGCATCGTAATTCTCGCAGTCTGTGTTAATCGCAAATCTATTTTCATGCTTTCTTCTGTTAATTTCTCGTATCCTCAAAATACTCACCCAATCGAATTTCGTTTTTATCTTGAACTGCGTTCTGAACATTACCAACCAAATGCAATAATGCCTCAGTCACAGGTCCTGTCTGCGGTCTGTCTAAGCCATCGAAATACGAACCCCTAAAGTATAATTCAGCGTTTGGCATCTGGAGAGGCGGTTCCGACTCATTCGTCTCTGTGCAGGCCAATAATGCTGATTGCTCCGCACCCATACTGAATGGAAACGATTTCAGATCTTGAATGATTTTATTTTGTTTGTATAGATTGCTTTGATTGAGCTTAAGATTTGCAGTGCTAGGTGAGATCATAATGCTCCAGATTTTCCTGTCACAACTAAGTCCCAGTCCCCACAACTAAGATACAGATCATTAAAAAATGTTTTAGTATGTACAGCTTTTGGTTTTGAAAAATATTGGAAACACATTGAATTGCGAAAAAGTTTAAAACATGCTTTCTAATGAAAGATTCATAGCAAGGACACAGAAGATAGCTACTTAGCTCCTTTTTAGTTCTTGCTTAAGCCCTGTTCCGTATTTATTTTGAAATTTTAATTGAACTTAAAAATCTTCTGCTTCTCTTCCTAAATATCCCCAAAGGTTTCATTCTTTCAAAACTATACCGATTTATGAGTGGAATTGAAGCAAGTATCCATCGCTGAAACGATATGTTTTTATGGCTCCATTGATTCGTAGATTGAAAATAATTTTCCAAGATTTCTGGCCACAATCTTCTACTTCTGATCATGAATTTCGACATAGATTTAATTCTTTCAAAACTTTATCCCTTTAAGAGTGGAATTAAAGCAAGTATCCTTGGCTGAGCCAATATGTTTTTAAGGCTCCAATGACTAATAGTTGGTAATAATTTTCCAACATCTTCAACTTGCAATTTCTATGTTCTTGCTGAAATTTTAATGCTCTATTGTTATTTCATTCCAACATTTTACAAAAACACCCAAAAGACTTAAAATATTCTTCAAAATGCTAACCACAGTATCTGCAGAGCTCATATTTGTTTTTTTCCAAACGCGATACGTATTTGGGCGAATAAATTGTTGGTTAAAAACTTAATCTATAAGGACAGATGTATGGTTCTGGGGATGCCGGCATGTCATGTAGAATAAATTGATTGTTAAGGTAAACTTCCGGAAGTAAATCAAAGCCATCGTTCTGGTCTAAAATATACCTATATTTCAATTATCAGTTTATAAAGTGTACCACGTACCAAGCATACTAAACTTTCTTTAAAATTTTTTGAATTTTTATGATTCAATTTGAACTGATAATATTCAGTTGCTAATTATTTGGCATTTAAAGTAAACAATTACTCAGCGCTTTCCGCACTACTCTAACTACGCTAATAAAATTCAATAAAATTGTTCTACGCAATTTTCTCGATATATATCAAAATATATGTAATATACGAGCAGCATTACCCTTTAGTTCAAAGCGCCCATTAGCCTGCGAAACGTTTAAGCTTTAGGTCTAAGCCGAGCTTTGACCGATCTTCTTGCTTGTTTTGTTGTTGTTGTTTATATAAAGCTTACAGCTGAAGTTGGCTTCAAAATATAAAAAGCCAGCTGCTGTAGAATTTAAAGTTTAGTTCAAGTTTTCTTCTCTGTTGTGTTGTGCTGTGTTGTGTCTTTCGTGGTAGGTACAAAGTAAATAATTTATTAAAAATATAAAATCTATAAACATGGAGTAGAAGATACAATATTTGATGAGGCCTAAATGATTTCAATAAAATGCTTTAAATATTGTCATTGGAAAAATGAAAAGAAAGGACGTATGCGCATTGAAAATTCTTTAAAATGTAATCGCAGAAAATGTAAATTAACACCAAAGGAGAATCTTTAATATTTAAAAAACAACCTCTTAGGATATAGTTTTCGTTATAAGCTGAAGGCAAATTAATAAATGCCTAGCAATTACTGTAATCAAGTAGTTTGTTTCTTAATATTATTAGAATGCAATAATTTATCAAAGTGAAGGCTTCATAAAATTTCATTGGCATTTTGTTCCAAAAAGTATAGTAAGTTGTGATTTTTCTAATGGCCGATTTCCTGTCAATGGCCCAGCTATATCATTTATGATTTGCTTTAATAAGTTCAACTACAAGTTAATTACACGCCCAATGCTTAAACAATGAGTTTGCAATTTCCATTAAATAATTTTGAAAATAATTCATGAAAACAAAAAGCGTGTTTCAAGCTTCGCTGACGTTGGTTTCATTACAATACCAACTAATATATTTTTGATAACTTTAATTTCACGTTCAGTTGAAACATATTCAAACAAATTAAAGAACCGGTTTGACGAAGAAACATTAGAAAAAGAGTAGGTACAGGGTACAGAGATAAAGAAGACAGACAACTCCATTCAATGCTGAACTTTAGCATATAGTAGTATACCGAAGATTTCGAGCTTTATTCAGATTCTGACTGCGTGTGCTTCGAACAGTGACAAGGTCTATGGGAGCCACCAATTTAATGGTCGACTGCGCCGGCGTGTGACAATGCCTTTCATTAAGTGAGATATTGAAAACCTCCAGACTCCAACATAAATACCCGTGTGGCTGTGAAGACAATGAATCTTGCCATACAGTGCCTTGAACTTGCACCAGCGCGGGCGAGTTTTTGATTATTCAATGCTATTAATTGAGCTCCAGTTGTTATACGACTATAAAGCTATCCAAATAGATAAGCTGTGAAGAAGGCAACAAAGCAGATTAGAATAACAAGCCGCAGTCCAGCTGACCAGACTATAGGATGCCCTTTTATAGCCTTTGCATTAATGAACTGAAGAAAGAATATAAAATGTGCTTATAAATATATTCTTCCGTCTGTTTGTAGGTATGAAAGCCCATATTTTTCTTAACATCAGGACAAGAGCTACCAACTTTGGCAATCTCGCTTCCCGTATCTATTTATACATATACACTATTTCTATCAATCATTTCATAGGTCTGATCAGTTCAAATAATGGCAAGAGCTTTTCGACATGGTTCTCTCTGTTAGAATCTTAGCTACTTATTTATTTATTAACTCATAATTGCTGTCATCTAAAGGATCTTTTAAGTCTTTAAGTTTTTTTACTCAAGTTTCTATAAACTACATTTGGACGATTTATTTGTTTGTTAGCCACTATCCATCATCCAAAACGATTATTAGTTTATTGTGGCCATAAATTCTAGGTACGCTGCTTTTATTTTGCCTTTTTGGAGCTAATATTTCAGCAGAGGTACTATTAGCAAAGTCTCACTTCTATGGAAATTTACTAAAACAGGTTTCTTCATTTTTCGTACATCCCACAAGAAACCAGTTTCGTATTTATTTATCAACATGCAACTTGGCCAGATTTATAAATGTTAAAAGAAAAAGAAGAAACACATTTGCGTATAAATATTTTGTTGTTTTTGTTGTCACTTTGTCTTCTTAGGCAGATTTATGCCGAAGCGTGCCTCAATTACCAATCATACATAAACTGTAAGATATAGTATATACACGAAGACTGGCATTATAAGAAGTGATAAAAAATATAATTACATAATTGTTTGGATTCGTTTTAGTTAGACAGCAAGTGTCAAGAGTTAGGAACACAGCCAATTATCAAGGCAAGCCACTATCAAATTATATTGATTGTATATAGATATGTGTATGCATATATATATGTATGTCTGTACAGATATATATGTAAGGTGCTGCCGACAAACTGCACAAATGGTTGCCGTTAAGTGCACACCGATGTCTGCCGATAATTATGCATATATGTACGTACATATATATGTATATATAGCGGCATATAAAACAGCTGGCCAAGGTTGTGTTGAAAGCAACAGAAAAAATCTCAGCTACTACTACACAAATGTTAATTAATTAATTAACAAGGCGCATAAATTTAATAATTACAAGCAATTGCCATTTGTTGTCATGCAAAAACGAAACGAACAACTCCAACACTATTTTAGCAATTGAAATTTATACAACGAGTAACAAAGTAGATCTGATAATCGCTAAACATTTTTAAGAAATCCACTGCTTGTCAGATTTCTTTAATTTTTTCCTATTCCTTGCTACAATTTACAATTTACGGCGCAACTTTTGTTTCTTGCACGATGAAAATATGGTTTAAAATATCGAAATCTGAATGATAAGGGAACATTTTCTAAAGAAAACATAAAAACATTAATAAATCTATTGATTTAAATGCCTTATTGGAGTAGAATCAAAGCAATATAAAAGTACTAATAAATGCCAAATTGCTTTTATACAGAAACGTGTAATTAGCCAATTGTGATCTTAAAAAACATCCTTAACCGTATAAGAAAAGCCCACATACCATAACAAAAAATTAATTCTTATACAGTGTAGAAGAAGAGGATTTGAAATGAAAACACTTCTTCAAAGATTAAATTCCTGAAACTCCTGCTAGTGTTCTTTTTTTGTGGCCTTTACTGAGATACTACATAATAATACAATTTATTAATAATAAAATTATTAAAATTAAATTAACTGACAAACTTTTAATTCTCAGTAAAGAGGTCTTACAGTACGCCTAGTGCTTTGACAATAATTCAAAAGACTTAACTTTAAACAATGAACAGCCGACCTATTATGAAAAGCCTAAGTGTACTTATATAGCATATTCAAGAACTAACAGTTGGAAAAATGTAATAATTATATCACAGCATTGTAAGTTAACTTTTACTTCCGCTAGCTACGAGGCTAAACTTTTTAAAATGTAAAACGCTTGCGCATTTCGAAACCTCATTAATGGAAATTAAAAGCAAACGTGAAGCAAAAAGTGAAAAATAATGAATTATATTGTTGTCGCATAAGACTGTCAATTTTCGATATGGACAAGAATTAATAGGATTCCTAAAACTATATATAAAAACAAAAAATAATCATCAAAGAGAGCCTACAATATACAACTTGAATTAAATGGTTTTTACGACACATTTCATCCAAAATTTGTGCAATAATAGACAAATAGTTTCTCGCTTTAAGTTTAAATTCCATATTTTTCATTATATTGAAAACATAATAAATTTTAGTTAAATAAACCATAATTCTTATAGCCAAACCCTTTGAACTGCATCTAGCTTGGATCGCATTTTATAAACCCCTTCCATTTTTATGATCCGCCCACAGCAATATAGTATGTTTCGTTTGCTTGTGATCGCCGCCTTCTTGGCAGCCAGTGCACACGCCTATTCCGAAGGAGCGCCTAGGGCCGCTTGTGGAGACCTCACACCCCAGCATGGAGCCAAGCTGCAAACCATAAAGCCACCCTACTCTATAAGCGGACCCCCGCATGTGCTCAAAGGCGAAACTGTGAAGCTTACACTTGGCGGTGATAAGTTCCTCGGTTTCATGATCCAGGCTCGTGATGGCCAGAATCGTCCTGTTGGCCAATTCAAGGTACTGGACACGAAGGCGCAAACCCTGGACTGCTCTGGACCACAGGTAAGTCAGACTCAGTGGCATACTATTAAATACTAGCTACATTTTTGTTTTTATTTCAAAGGACACTTTGACACATCTGAGAGCTCAGAAGGATAGCCCCATTTCCGGTGTATCCTTTGAGTGGCAACCACCGGCCGGCTACAAAGGCAACGTTAAATTCATGGCCACTGTAGTGCAAACCGGATTTGTCTATTGGGTGGGACGAGTCACCAAGGATGTCGATGTGGAGTAAACGCTGGTGTTCAGATTAAGAATTATTCGTTTATTAAGCTCAATGCTTCTTAATACATTTGTGATACAAATTTGATGAGAGTACTTCAAATCTTTGATTATTATTGATGATTTTAATGCTCGAAGACATTACAAACTATGTTTTAGAAATGTGTTGTTGTTAAACAATGTTTTCTTGTAATAAAGTCTCAGTCGGTTCTTAATATAACAAAATACCTGAATAGATAAGTTTTCAATTCAAATCGGTTCAGCTTGACAGTGAGTTCTTCATAAACTTAACACTAAACTTTCTAATGGAAATGTTTTGGAAAAACGCTCTTAACTAATAACTAAATAGTGCTTGAATTTCAATCCAAGTCTTGCTTCAAAAATAAATAATAAATCGCTTGTTTCTTCTAAAGCTATTGATTGATTAAATCTAGGAAAATGATGAACAGTCATCATTTTAATTAAATTTTAACTTTGGCAAAATCTTAAGATCAACTTTGATTATGGCCTGAGAAAACGTAAAAAACTAAACACTAGACTAGAAATATAGCTAGAAAATGAGAAATATATATGCAACAAAAATATAGAAAACATAAATCAACAGCTAGTCTCGATAGCAGCACCAACTCTGCAATTAGGCTTAGACTGCTATTATTTTATAATATTTAAATGATTTGCATGTGGGTTTAGCTTTAATGCTAGTCGAAAAACAAAACAATACAACTTCTTAGTTATGTTCAGTGATTCAAGTATTCTGAAGCGTAAACACAGTTTAAATTAATTAAAAAAATTCGATATTTTAAGATATTGAGGAGGAACTTAAATATCAATATGAAATACTGTTAGTTTTCTTGTCTAGAATATTTGTTTGGTTACAAGGAACTTGTCAATACTTATTTGACTTAATTAATATTTAAAGACACTAATATACAGTTTGAAAATATCACCTCCAAATAGTTGTTGGCATATATCAAAGTCTCGCTGTCGTTAGGCGAAAAATTGCGTTGCGGTAATATCCCGCGATAAGGATTCTCAGTGAAATTGTATACAGACTTGATGTTTATATCGTACTCATCGGCCACAACACTGAGCGCTAGGTAGTCGGATCGGGCTTGGACTTTTGTTGCCGATGTATAGCAGATGGGAACGCCATGGGCTTGAAGGACGCTGACAAGACAATTATACCAGCAGTGGTCATCTGATTGAATATCGGCCAATTGTTCAGTTAACGTAGACATTTGAGCCAAGTCGGGATGATAAAGCACTAAAAGGGTCGGATGTATATAGTATGTGTCGGTGAACTGCCTAAAAGTCATGGCATATGTTTGCTTTATTACGGTGCGTTGCAGACCCTGTGGACGAGTGTCAATGAAGATTAAAAAACATTTTAAATTACATTAAGCACGATAAATTACCTTAAACATAAATTGAATTAGTTTTTTAGAGCGCGGCAACAGTCTTTGTCCAACGAAGAACAATTCCAGTATGCATACATCATGATATTGAAGAAAGAAGAATTTGAGATGCATCTCCTCAAAATACTTCAGCTGCTCTTCTCCAGCGCCCACAATGTAAATCTTAACCATCTTACCAGGACGGCATTCGAGATGCACGTGCGTCAAAGCTAAGCAGATGCTGGCTATGCAACTAAATGAGGAGCAGGTTGCAAAACGTTGATAGCCTGCCAATGTTTTCAGGCTTTGGGGATCGCTAGTAACATCCAAATGGGTGGCTCGGTGAAAAGCTTCCACCAGATGACTGCTTTGCAAATCTAGGCTTTCATAAAAGGTTTTGATGGGCTCCGGCTCCAGCGATAACAATTTGTAGGGATTGTAATATATTCGCAAAGAGTTGCACATGGACTTATGGTTGACCTCATCCAACTGGCGGTGTTCTCCGGAGCAGTAAGCAACGCCGCCACAGGCAGTGCAGGCAGTTAGCGACTCCAGTCGATAGCAGACCATGCAGTAGGCCGGATAGCAAATTAGATCATTCTCACGTGGCGACAATGGTCGCTGTAACTTGACGATCAGTGCCAGCTTCAGTTGACCTGTTGTTATGTGTAATTGATGGGCATTTTTAATAGCACCATGCAATAGGAGCGGATGTGAAATGTTTAGAACTTGTTGCAACTCCTGTAACACTAGGCACATGTCCCGATGTGGCATGTCCACGTCGGCGCCAGCATGTGACAAACAATACTGTTGCATTTTACATATTTTACAGGTGATTAGAGTTTGTGGGGATTCGCGAAGCTGTACGTTCTGCAGAGACCCGGCAAGCTCATCAACGTCATCCACATACTGTTGCTTTATTGGCAAGCAATTGTTAGTTTTATTTTCTAACTGTTGTTCGTTGTTATTTACATCCTCTTTATTCTTAATTTCTGGATCCAATTGCGCCGCTTGCAGAGCCTGCATCTTGTCATAAACACACACACAGCATTGTACAGAAGAGCCATATTGATTAATATCAATACTGTACATTTTTAAACAATATTTTATACAATTTAAATTAATTTAAATTGTGCCTTTACTTGCGCGGTAAATTAAGACACTCCTGGGAGAGCTGTCAGACTAACACCAGACAGCGCTGCCAGACTGTTCGCAATAAGTACTACCCCCATTGCCAACGGTCAGCTGTTTATTACGCCGGTCTGCAGTGGATTTTATAAATTGTTTTGTAACGCAGATTTTTATAAATTAATTAATAATTGAAGTGCTTTAAGCATGTTGCGCAATTTGGTGCGTACTTTTGAGAGCGCACTTAAGCTGCAATCAGCCAGGAGCAACGCCTGTCTACCCTTGAATGCTGTCGTGCGGAGCCATCGTACACTATTTACCGAGCAATTGGAGGAGAATGCAACCATAAATGCGAAGAAATCGCTTTTCACATCTAGCGCCACAAACGAATCGGATAACGAATATGTGCAGAAACCCTATAGCACCGAAAACGAAACAGGCACGAAATCCAGTGTCCTGATTTCAGCTCTACGCGAACGCTTCCGTCTCACGGATACCGAGGCCGAGCGCATAATGAGCGATGAGTTGGTGCATCGAAGCTACCGAAACCGTTCTCTGACCCTAACGCTGGACGCTTTGCAGCTGGAGGGGGTGAGCAAGCGCAGTTTTCTCGAATATCCCTGGCTTTTGACGCTGGATGTCAGTAAGTATATCGCACAAGGGGTACATGTTCTTCTAAAAAAAATCATATACTTACAACGTTTATAGAACGACTGGAGCAAAAGATGCAGCTCATCAAAAGCATGCCGATACGTGACATCAATCATTTTGTGCCCTTTCTGCGTCTCACTTTGCCGCGTTTGCGCAAACTGGTGTCGGCGTTGAACAAGGAAATGGACACAATCGAACATGGAAATCGTGTCTACTACATTAGCGAGAAACTGCAAGTGGCCCCTGAATTGGTTACCAAATACCTTTCGAAGCGTTTGTTCATCTTGGAAATGCCATTCGACATGTTCGAGAAGAATTTGCAACACATGATCGACTACAATGTGTCACCATTAAACATACTGAAAGATCTTTGGGCCTTTCGCTATACACCCAAGTCAGTGCAGTTGCGATTAGAGCGTGCCAAGCGGGCGAAGAAGGATAAAATTATGCCGTGGATGGTGCGCTGTCCAGAGCCAATTTTGCAGCGGTAATTAAACTATTCTGGTGACAATTACCATCACATTTTTACACTAACAATGTTGCTTACAGCTCCTTAAAACTGTCGTTAGATGAGCTACGAGTATTAGGCAAGTTCTCCTCAGTGGCGGAATACATGGCAGATCGTTTGGGATTCAGTGTGCAGGAAACCAAAGCCATTATGGACAAACATCCGCAGGTGCACACCGTGCGCGTTACAAAGGTGTGGCTCCAAAAATAATATACCTAAAAAGCCAATACACGTAACTAAGATTTATTTTCTCGCAGATCAAAGAAGTTCTAGACTATTTGCTTAACGATGCGCAGTTTTCACGCTTCGAAGTAGCGCAGGTGCCGCGTATTTTGTGTCACAGTCTTAAAACGACAAAAGCGCGGATGGAGGAGCTCAAATCCATCGGTTGTCGTCCCTCCTCGCTTGTGATTGTGTGCCGCAGCAAGCGGGAGTACGAAAAGTTTCTGCAGTACTGGATGAGTTTAACAGGCACGCATCGCAGCAGTGTAAATAATAAATCAGAACTTAATAGTAGTTGATGGCAAGGTCCAAAAAGAGTTCATCCAAATTTAGTGTACATAGTCTAGTTTTTGAATTCATTGTTGTCTAAGACTAAAAAATTTGAGAAAAAATAGTTGAACGTTTTATAATTAATAAAAAATAATAAAATATACTTAAATATTATACGTTTATCCAGTTCGAATCTTCTCTTAGATAAGAATTTCTTAGAATAAGGTGTTGATTAATGAAATGATGGGTCCCATTAATCGTAAGATTAGAGATCAATGCCTAAGATGTGAATGCGGAGCATATATAGAAATAATGAAGATAAGCTACAAGAGAATGTAAGAGACTTACTAAAGTTAGGCGAAATGGCAACATTTTATGCCATTCAAATAGATAACTCAAACTTAAACTATAACTTTAATCAAATCGGGTTTTTTTGGTAAGCGGAGAAGCTTGTTCAATAAATAATTATAATGAAATACAACATGGTCAGAAAGTTGATGCAAAAACTTACGGATCTTGACTTCATAGATAACACCAATCCCATCTGCACTTGTCCTCGAGGAGAAATACGATTTATAAATGGTTTGTGTGAGAAAGTTGCTACTTGCTTAAAGAAAGTGTCATCAAAGTCCTTAAAACTTGTTTAAAAACCATCCAATTATGTATTTTTTTGCTCTGGAATATTTCATTCGTTTGTGAAGACCATTCGCAGAACATCCTAAAAAAAAATATAATTACAGAAATATTAGATACCAATAATATATTCTTTACAAAAATTAATATTTTTTTTATCAAATTTATATAATTTTCGTTAATTTTCCCTGAAATAGCAGTATCAAAACGTAGATAACTACAAATTGGTTGGGAAATACCTTGCAAATGGAAATATAAACTAATTTTCTCCAAATCTAATTCGAAAAACGTTGCTATATAATTTTCACAAATACATAGATCTTGAAATAATAGTCGCAATTACATTTTTCACCGTTTTATTTTGTTTTACACATTGAATAACTGATTATGGATCAGCTTATTTGTTTATAGACATAGATAAATTTAATATGAATTTGCATTTCATGTAAATACATACTTTTTGAATTCAAGTCGTATATGTTGCTTAATAAACATTAAATTGAACATTGAAATACATACGTTTGTGCCATCACTGATTGTACTTAAGAAACACGCAAAATATATATATGTATGTATGTATGTATATGTATGTAGTAGTATGTATATTTGTAGGTATTTGTGTAGATATATAGCAGATGCCATGATTTGTGAATATCGCTCAGCCACCATTTGATTAGCTACTATTTGTGTTTTATAATTAGATTATGTATTGTAAATGCTCAAGAAGACAAGGTTGTTTGAAAAAAAGTTAAATAAAATAAAACACAAACGTCGAACTGACCGCCTTAAGAATTAAAACTAAATATAAAGCTTTCGTTTGTTGAAACATTCGCTACGTAAGCTCGTTATATCAACCGTTGGTTAGGGCAGGGGAGACCTGCGCTTTGTGCCTCATAGCTTGCAGCTTAGAACTTAAAAATCTTTGGTTTGGTTGAAAATACATAGGGATTAGAGTTTAGCACGACAAGAAAGACAAACCGATTCATATACTTGTATGATGTATGCTATAAACTAATTGTCAATTGTTTAATGTTGAATTGTACTAGATTGCATTGGTTTAGTCGCGCAGTGCCTTGCGCCGCTCCCAGGCCACTTGCATCGACCAAATACTGAGGGGTCGCATATAGCCGATGGAGCGATAGCGCTTCTCTCCATACAGTGCCTCTGGGGTTTCATAATTCATGCCAATGCGCTGGGAGATGGTCTTGTACATGCCGCCAGCGGTCTGGAAAGCCTCCTCGAACATGCCCTCCTGTATCATTGTGGCGGCCAGCGCGTAGGTAACGCCTGGCCACACCTCCTCGGACTGCAAATTGCTGTTGTCCACATGTCCCGGCTTCTCGGGATCCGAGGCATTGGCTATGAACCCATTGGCCGCCCCAATGTTGCCCTCATGGAAGCCCATGACATTGTTATCGTAGATCCGTTTAAGAGCGGCGCGCACATTTTCCTTGGGATAGATCTCATAATCAAAGCCGCACGATTTCAAATACCAATGACCACACAGCTGATCGGCCATAATGGTGTCCCGGTGATTGTGCGATAGATCGAAGCGATAGTAGCTGCCATTCCACAGTTTCTCCTCCAACGAACGTTTGCCCTTCTCCAAAATGTCCTGATAGCGCAAGCAATCGTTTGGCTGATCGAGAATGGTGGCCATCACGGACATGGATTGCAGGGCAGCCAGCCAGAGACCCGAGCAGTAGGCGCTCGGTCCATCCATCACCCATGTATCGTATGTTTGATCCGGCATTTTTGTGTTCTCAATCAAGCCATCATTATCCTTGTCATACTCAATGGTACGCTCCATGATGGCCTTGCAGGCACCATACATAGCCTTCAAATAGGTAATACCATCCATCAGATAAACCTTTCCGTTCGTTTCGTTGATGTACATGGAAGCCGATTTGCGATTCTCTGCGAATATCCGAATAAATAATTAATAAATGGGCCTGATTAGTAGGGATTAACATTTCTTAACTTACGCTGCTTCTCATCCGCCGAGTTCTTGCGCTTATTATCCTGCGAATACATCTCATAGAGGCTCTCCTTGTCTATGAACTCAATGGAGCTGAATTTACTGGCATTATCGGCCTGCGCTTGTGCCAACTCGTTCAGCACATAATAGTCCCTGTACACCTGGAGCACGAACTTCGTGTTGAGATCCTTCCAATCGTTCACATCGTGTATATTGTAGCAGTTGATCAGTGTGAAGGGCTCCTCATCGGGATCCCCCAGATCATGGGGCACACAGTTTTTGGCCTTGCGTGGCAATACTTTCCCATCATACAACATTTTCCGTGTATCATTCAGCTCGGCGCCGATGGCATCTTTGAAATCGTACTGCAGACTCACTTGCAGGTTTGGCCACAAGTGGGCCAAGGCGGGCGATGCATAGAAATGGACATCGTAGGTGTTGTACATGCGGTACTCATGACCCTCCAGATAGCCAAAGCGGCCATAGGCGATCCGCGGATCATCGTAGGCCAATTGCTCGCCCAGCGAGGAGTCACATTTTAGCCACAGAGTGCCGCCATCCGATATGAAATAGAGCTGATTGAAGATGGCACACTTGTACCAGTCGGGTAGGCCGCTAGGTGTGGGGAAAAAGGGAAATGTTTAAATCAAAACATTCTTTTGACTATCAAAATTCCTAGTGTAAGAAAATAATTTAAAATGATTTCTAGAAAATATTATAGAATACTGAAAATGGAATATTAATGTATTAAAATAACTATCGAAGAATTTGTAATTTCTATTCTATTAAAAATATAAGATTTAAATGGCGCAATCTCTAAGTTTTAGGTTCAATAATATTAACTTAACTTTTAAACTCGTATTGAAAAGAGATCCTTAGAAATATATACTGAATTTTTATACTTTAAAACATCGGCAATCAGTCACAGTCTTCGTTAATGAACCCATTGTTAATTGTTTTCTAGATACCATTATTATAGCTAATATGGAATAGCTATGGGAGACCTTGCCCAGCTAAAACGATGACTGTACGATTCCACATAGAGATAGTCGATCGTTAGAAAGGGGTCGATCTCTGGATAGGAGTTCTGGTGAGCGTCTTAATAATTATCACCTTCCATTGGGAATAATTATCGTTAATAAATATATTCTTCCGTTCAACATTTTAAAAGGTGCTGAAAAATCTGTTTTTTAACTTACAATAATTTGTAACTTAAGATATTAATTAATTTTCAAACACTTTGTCTTCCTTTAAATTGTTTAAGCTGGCTTTTATTAAAACTTTATGTTTGCCGTAAAATTAAAAAAACATAAATTCATATTCCATATTCTGTCATTAGATTCCAAAACTGTTGTCTGTTTTAAAAAAAAAAACTCCACTTTTCAATCAAAATACTTATACAATACTATTATTAATTGTTATTCTTGATTATAGAACTGAAATGCTGAATTTATATGAATTTGATCATAGTATTTGCAAAGGAATCTTAATTTTACTCAACTTTTTATTTTAATTATTTTAATATTAATAATTTTGGAGAATTATTAGCATACTTACTCGTCATTAAGTATTGGTCGCTGCCAGGCATCGATCAAACGCTCCCAGCTCGCATAATGTTTGAGCGCATATTCGCAAATTTTTGGACCCGCCTCACCACTATCATCGAAGTATTTGGTATAATAGCGAGTGTGCGTCTTTAGTTTACGTGGAAACTGTATTTGCGGCATGTCCCAGGCAAGTACGAACTCCAGGTCGTGGGAGGATTTGGGCTTAAGAGCTAGCTGTGCGCAGACAGCGACGCCAATATCCTTGGCTGTGGAGCAAAATTAATTTTAATATACCGTATAATAATTGAAACATTACTATATAGTGATATAATAATAATATAATAATAATGGAATACTTTTAGTTTTTGAAATCATTGTTTTCTTGATCATTTAAAGCAAAAGATTTGTTTCGAAAAATGTTATGTTTATTGAAATTTTGCAAAAGAAATGTTTAAAATAATAGTCTTCCATTTTTATTTGTAAAATTTTCATTATTAGTTTTGAATCAATTTTGTATTTGGAAATTAGTGTTTCTTTTTTTTGAACAAATTTTGGCTGTTACTATATTTTAAAGCTTTGAAATATTTGTTTAAATGTTAGGATTATGAAAATTTCTTCTACTACTTATTTCCACTACCGATTTTCTCAACAGATGAAGAGTAGGAAATATTATCATGCGAAAATCTGATTCTGGTGATCATAGCAGCCAATAAAAGAGCAAACATTTCTTACCAAAACTTTGGAAAATGTCGGACTTATTGTACTTATATAGCTTTATTTTTGCTTCTTGGGTGGAATAAAATAAAGTTTCAGGACAAAATCGTAAAGTTTGACGATTTGTCATTAAAATTGATTTGTATGTCTGAACACAGCTTAATTTTGGCGCTTCAACACAGACTTTTGTGAGTGCTATCTTTATTTTCTAATCAATAATGTATCTATAGAAACCTTGAAACAACTTGCTAACTTTTTCTGAAATTAAAAAAAAAAAGTTTGATATCGCTTTATAAAGTAAGTTTAAACTTATTCTTAAACAATATTTAAGTCTCCAAAAAGAAGAAAAATACTTGAAATAAACATGAAATTTTGATTAGGTTTATATAGTTATAGCAACGTACTCTTAAGGGTCTCCTGTGTCGGCTGCTCACTTAACTGGCCGTGCTCCTTTAATTCGGCCCACAGCTGCTCACCATTTCCGGCCGGATCGAATTGTGGACAACGCGTAATACTGATTTCGGGAAGCACCCGACAGGCCAAATTGTAGGTGCACGGCATGTCGGCTATCTTTTGCTTTATAGCCACACCCTTGGCATTGCCCTCGCCAATCAGCTGGGATTCGGCACCGCCCTCGGCATCCTGTTTCTTGTTGCCGGTTCCATTCTTGAACGTGAACGTAATGGACACCTTACGCTCCTGATCGCTCACATTCTCCACGGACCAGACGAAGACGGCGCATGGGAGACTCGATTCCTTGTAATCGTGCGGTATGACCGGCGATATCTGGCGACAGACCAGACGCACGCCATACGGCGATAGATCGTACTCGGTCCAGGAGCGCGGATACAGACCCGTATAGCTGCACTTCGAATCGTCGATATTGGAGTGCCAGGCGCTCAGAGGCTGCTTCGCACTTCTGCTGCAATTGGGCAGTTGACATTTAGATTTTTGAGTTTCGGCTTCGGCTGCCTCCGGATTGTTGTTGTTGTTGTTATTACTGTTACTGTTGTTTTTCAGGTGACGCATTTTCGATTTGGATGACTTATTCGTGCTATATATATTTTTATTTGAATGGTTTTTGTGATGATTTATCGAGAGAGAGAGCGTTAAGCAAACCAAAGTGCAAAACCCACAAAGCAAATCATAATTCTCATAACGATGAAGATGCCCGATGTTCGATATTTTCGAGTGCCCGTAGTACCCAAGATGCCATAAAACCAGAGCGTGTCATACAATATCCAAGACCAAAGCCAATAAGTATATATTTTTATGATGATTTGTTGTTGTTTTGTTGCGTGTATAAACAAATTAAGTTTTTATTTATTTTCATTTTTTGTTGTTGTTGATATATATATATATAAATATATAAGTATTTAAACATTTGTTTTGGTGCAGCAGAAATAAGAGAAAATAAATTGAATTCATAATTATAAAAAGTTTCCAAAACCAATTTCATTTGAGTTAAAACGAGAGAAAGGATGGAGTATTAGTACGGACATGACAGCAGCACTAAATGTATATAGTATATACAGATGTTGTAGACATTTTATCAACTATTTACAAATGGTTCGAACGCACTTAATATAAGGGGTTTAGGGATTAAGTTATTGAAGCCATATATTGTTTTCTCCCATTAAAACACATTTCAAAAGCATGAGAGCGTTTGTAATTGGGTCTGCCCGTCAAAACTTAATAGAAACTTTATTTGTCTTTCAATTAGTTGTACTACAGTGTTGGAAAACAACAAAAAAGAATTCATTGCCAACTCGTTAATAGAGATTGCGCCTTGGGAGCACAGACCTTATAAGCATAGTTGGAAGAGTAAGCTGTAGTTATAGCATTTAGTATTAGAAGTAATGCGAAAACTAAACTAAAACCCTTTTTATAAGGAATAACCAACGTTCACGGTGGGTTTGCAGAACATATGGTAGACACTGACTGGCTTTATAATATACAAATATAAATTATAAGTACAATACGATCCGATAGATGATTAATGATTTACAAATTAAATCAAAATAAATAAATAAAACATGCTGGAATATCGGTTCGACTTTTGACTACTACTTTAGCATAAACTCTTGAAATGTGACAAACTTTAGGCTAAGCTTTTTAATTTTTGTTGGTTGATATGAAGACTTTCAATAAACTATACTATATTCAACTAAACTTTCGCTTTCACAATGAAGTCTTAGCTAAAAAAAATAGGGATAACAATGGTCTAAAAACGTTCTCGAAAGGCAAACGATTATCCTTTCACATAACTATTTAAAATATCTATTTAATTTGTTAATAAAGATGCATTTCCAAGCTGATCGAACAATACGTAGATAACTAAAAAACTTTCGAGAATTTGTTAATGTACTATTAATTATATAGTGCGTATCTTATATAACTCTTATTTTAAATTCATAGAGTCGCTTGACAATAGCAATTTTGAAAAACAAGCAAAATATTATAGCATACACTATATATATTTTCATATCATTTCAAAAATACTTAAAAACTAAATCAATTTTATCATTATAGCTTAGTTTTTATAATAAGGAAATAAAATAGTATACGAGTTCCACATATTTCAGTAAAAATTTCAAAAAACAAGTAGTTTTTCTTAAAATTTTTCCGAGAGTATACAAACTAAGTTTGAAGTTAATCAGGTGAAAATTGTAGATTTTTCATACAAACGTTGGAGCCGGTTTTCCCCCCTTTGGAGTTGGAATTTTCCAAAATTCTTATCGCCAACCTACGCTATTAAAGGATACTTGAGTCAAAATTTCAGCTTCCTAGCTTTTACCGTTTGGGCTGTGCGTTGATCATCAATCATCAGTCAGTCAGACAGTACAAACTGTTTTATATACTTGAGATATTTGTTTAGTCTTAAATTTATGTTTCAAGTTTAAATGTTTCTGAAGTTATGTAAACGGTTTTGAAACTTTTTATAAATGGGTAATTCAATGGGTAATAATTTATAAACCCTTTATATAACTATATATATTCGTACCGATGGGAACCATGAATTCATTGTATTGATATAAAAAAGTAAAAGCGACTAGAATAAATTTTGAAAGAACTTATCTTTATCCAACTTATTCAACCTTATTACGACTACCCCCACATTTATACATTATTTTCTTTGCAATTACTCTACCGATTGCAGATATCTAAGTAGTATATGACAGCTATCCAATATGACAGAAAACTCTCACATGTGACCTGCATTATTTCGAAATTGAATAACATGCAATATACTTAGGCATGTACTATATTTAGTATATATAGAATTGTTTGTGTACGACTTAAGTGAGGTTCATTGTGCCACTTTGTTTTGTTCGTTCGTGTTGGTAGTCAGCTTATTTCAACGCTCAACGTTATAATTGTCCATCATGATGGTAAACACAAATACATATGTACATACATTACATAAATCATTTACATTTTATAAAATGAAAAACCCATCATCATAAATAAATAAATAATGGACGACGCGACGTTCGAGCGAATGTGCCCTAAAAAGCACTTTAGAATGCGCATAAAAGCAAGAGGGACAGCGTTCATAAAAAAACGAGCCAGAGACCAACAAAGTGGGAGAAATAAACAAATTAAAGACGAGAAATCAAATCCATAACATGCAGGCAGTAACAACAACAACAACAATAATAATAACAATAATAACAACAAACGTGCTGTTGACGAGTCACGAACATAAAATGCTGAAAATGTGTCGCAAAAAACAAGCACAAAGCTAAAGCGATGGTCACACGGGCAAATAATTTGCATATAATATTATTTCAAATTAAATGCATTTGTAGGCAAATTGTTTGTCTGTCTGACAAGCTAAAGCTGTGGTCACACGGGCAAATAACTTGCATACAATATTATTTAAAATTAAATACATTTGTACGCAAATTGTTTGTCTGTCTGACAAGCTAAAGCTGTGGTCACACGGCCAAATAATTTGCATACAATATTATTTCAAATTAAATACATTTGTACGCAAATTGTTTGTCTGTCTGACCACCGCATCTACGCATACTACATATGTATGATGAGAATGTGCGATAATTAATGGAAATAGTCTTGTATGTATGATAAGATTGGACAGCAAATAGATTATAGATTGAACCAAAAAACTCATACCTGCACTTGGAGAGCAAACTTTGGAAGATTGTGCAGCCTTTCTGATCCTTAATTGTGACTATAAACTGATTGGCATGCACCACATTATACTCGTAGATGCCAGGACGCATTTGAAAGCGACAGAATTCGCCGCCATAGCCACGTCCGATGCTGCCGCCTCCAATGCCACCAATCGGGACACCATACATCTGCTTCCCATTCTCCATGTAGTAGTAGTCCATGTAGACGCGACGCCCTTCACGCGACACTTTCCAATAGTAGGCGGCATATCTGCAAAATACGAGTGGAGAGCTGGATAACAGATTTGCGGCTAATGTGCTCAACTTTGTTTATAAAAAGGGATGGGGACGATGATGTCATAATTGCGTAAATGTCTGGGCAGGCCAGGCAGCCTAGGCCCATTCAGCATTCATGCCAAGTCTCTGGGGGTTGCTTTGCTTCGTTTCCTATGCCCCAACACGCGTATCATTTTCAACCCCCTGTCTATCCCCCCGTCCTACCCCAAGGCTGGAAGGCGACTTACATCGACTGGCAACTCAACATTTTCTATGTTGGCTGGCACATTTGAAGGTCAACGCAAATTCCATGCCAAAGTCAAGTGCACCGTGTTAATGTGCCATTATACTTGTACATACTATATGCAAGTATTAGTATGGGGGCCGGCTATCTGGGTCGAACTGTTCCAGTTTTCAGCTGGACAGTTGCAATAACGCTGGTTAGTGGGGCACGGCTGGCGAACACACCCATTGAAAAGCTTGTTGTCAAGGGCTTACATTATAATTAAAATAACTATTACTGTAGAGCAGTAATAGTAATCATTAGCTGATGACCAGATATGTGTGAAAAGGGTAGGTTTTGCATATAAGAGGCAGAATTAAGCATCTCTCTCTAAGTATAGATATATATTCTTAATCAGCATGATGGGAGAAATCGATCTAGAGATGTGCGTCTGTTCGTTTGGATGAACGCCTGGATTTCGGAAACGTCTGAGGCAACATAAATCAAACTTTGTACACGTAATCTATATACAATTGGCTACTTTTGTTTCAAATTTCATCCAAATCTGTCAATTCTAAGAAAAGTAATTAGCGAAACACGTTCACTCTAGTATTAAACCCACAAACTGCAGCATCAAGTTTGGTCTTCTTCTTCTTTTTATAACCTGTACCCGTAGGGTAAAAAGGCTATATTAGGTTTGTGCAAGGTATGTTACATGCAGAAGGAAGCATCTCCGATTACATAAAGTATATATATTAGGATCAGCACAACGAGATAAATCGATCTAGACATGTCCATCTGTTCGTTTAAATGAACGCCTTCATTTCGGAAACGGTTGACGGCTCATTAACCAAACCTGTTATATAGACGCTCCTATTCCTTAAGCTACACGAGTTTATTTTATTTTTTTGACTCCTCCTCCCCTCTTTCCGCTACAGAATTTCGTCATTACTGTCCATATTTTAAGAGCTACATAAACCAAACTTTTCACATATTCAATTGTCTAATTTTGTTTTAAATACTATACAAATCGGTAAATTCTAGAAAATGTTATTAGAATGTCCGTCCGTCTGTCCATCACTACTTCCACATATTTAGAGCCGATGTCTATTGTTGACGCCCGCAAATAACATATTGGGATGTCAGATTAAAAGAGCTGTGTATTTAGTATGAAAGACATCTTGTTTATGAATATTTTGGTACGATATTGACTTGGAACTTAGTAGCAGTTTAATGATTATAAATATTGTTTTATTTCGTTTATAATGTTCGTACTCTATTCTTAAGATTATATTGACAACTAAAAAACGTCTATTTTAATTTATATTCTGTCAATTTACAAAACCGTATTCAGCTACTGATTAATAATTATTTTCAAAGGCGGCTAACATACTTGATCGATGTTTATGAAGTAAGTAATAAACAAAACACAAGACTTCATCTCTAAGGTTCTCTCAAAACCGTTAGGCATTGCATGTCATTATCTTAAAAATATATCAATCTCTTATTATTTATAACCTTATCTACATGGCTATTCGAATTTCTCTTCTTATTTGCATATTTTTATTTTATTTGTTGCATAAGAAATTCTTTCTGGTTAAAAAAACAATAAAATACAATGTAGTATATTTTAACCACTTTACTATTTAAATCCGCTAATATTAAAGAGATGTAAAGCCCGTTGTATAGATTTTTTTTAAAGTATTCTCTTGTTTGTAAACCATACTCCAGCTGCTTCTGATTTTGCAATGAAATCATTTCTATTAGCGCAAAATGTATTGCAGTCTTAAAAAGGGTTTGTCAAATTGTGGCTGAAGTGCCAATACCTTTTAAAGTTCAACAATTTTTTATTATCTTCATTATAAATAATAAACGATTGCCATATCGGACTTTATTGCTTGTTGCTTTGACAATAAACGACATTAAATCTACATATGTATGTATGTATATATATGGTTTGATAGTCAATTTGGTTTGTGTTTGTGAAAGCAGCTCCAAGCAATCGAGATCTTATCAAATAAAAAGGCGATCAGCAAGTCGATCCAGTTATTAAATTACTATTGGAAAAGATTTGAAGTAAGCCATGATATTCAATTTTATAGTCTATAATAGACTCTTTGTTCTCCCTATTTGTAATATTTTAAAACCCTTTACACGGAGGCTAAAAAGCGTTCTAAAAAGGAGAACGAAGAAGAAATCATTTCTTCATTATTAGAATGATGAGATAAATCGATGTATGCCCAAAAGTGTTATCTTTCCCTTTTCCAGCTACAGAAGATTTTGCACAATTCTGGACAATTGAAAAAAACGCAGATACAAACTGAGGCGCTCATCAATATAATTGAATCGGATAAGAGTGCACAAGAACCAGAAGCAGAGAACTTTATTCCATCGTTAAACGATAAAACTGTAGAGAAGGAATTGGACGCACATCTGCGATTCTACGATGATGGCAGACCGGCAGGATAAGAAAATGGCCGATGAGTGGCAAACCAAATACGATAAGTAAGGGTCTAGTTCGATGCGTATGCGTCATACCAGATTTATTTTCTGGGTCAAGCAGGTGTTAGACTCTGTATTCAAGCCGCAGGTGTTGGCTACCATTCTTCGTATATTACTTATGTAGTGGGATTGGCTAATAAATTTCCCCCAGCGGGTCTGAGTTTACTTTTTTTTTTAAATTAGCGTTTAATTGATTTCTAAGCTTCCTTTCTCTGTTAAGTCTTTTCTTTTTATTTTATTTGATTGAGTTGGGTTCTAGCTAGCCGAAAGGTAAATAATGTTTCCCCACAGAGCCGGACGCATTTATTAGATATTATTGTAATTTGATTAGATTTATTCTACTTCTTCTTTCCTAGCTTATAAGGCTTTTTTATAAGTTGAATATTCCTTCCTTATGCCGACGGTCATTGGTTGTTGAGATACAAATACAATAAAACAATAGCTAAGCAGCAGAAGCTTCTTTTGTAACCTTCTCTTCAGATTTAGATTGATTTTCTCAAAAAAGTATAGCAATTCATATCGGTATAATTTAGAAAAAAGTTACTAATAACCTAATGTATCCTTTTGATCAATAACATTTGTTCTTTGCGACATTACAAAAAGTTGAGTTAACGCCCCTTCCATTGAAGGACTGCATAATTCTTTGCTTTTCAGAAGCTTTACACTTTTAATTTCTAATTTTCATCTTTGCTCCTCTCAGCTGTAGTATTATAATTATAAATTGTTCATCTAAATATTTGCTGCCATCGAGTTTGAAAACATTTTCGTTTATAACACAAAATTGCCAGGAAGTGCAAAGTTTGCAAAAACAAACATTAAACAATTAAAGTCCATGGAAAGCAATTTCCATGCCGAATGCTGAGTGGGTGCACCGAGAAATTTAATTGCTATGCCAACGCATGATTGACTGGCTGGGAGAGAGATTTTCGCTTAAGTCGGCGCACAGACAAGGAAAATCGGAGATGAAATGCTCGCACTGGTAAGCCTGCACTTCAATTCCATTTATCCAATTATATTCAATTAAGAAATTAAGTTTAAACTCACAGATTATAGTATTGTTTCGTCCCTTCCTCCTCACTGAGGTAATTTAATACATTTTGCAATTTGCGCAAAAAACAAAAATTTAAGCAAACACAAAATGCAAAATGTGCTGAGTGCTGCTAATAAAAATGTTCACTTGCTTGGACATTTTAATGGAAGTGACTGCTGGGGATGGGAAAACGGCAACCACATGAACCACCGCAAAATTGTGGTTTTGATTCTCCGCACGGGCACGCGAGGCTGTTGACTTTGCAATTAACCTAAAATGTGTGGCAGCAACTATTAGCCGGCTCGGGCAGGTAGACGTGGGAGTGGCAGCGACATAAATGGAGCTGCCACAGAGAGTGCTGAAAGGTGGGATTGATAAATGGATATGCCACAATGTGTGACACATTGTTTGCTCAATTGACCAAACGATTCGATGGGGATCTGCAATTCTGTCTCCCAGATTTGAAAAAAACATGCTTCATTTCTAAAAAGTCAGTTTATTTTTAATAAACAGAAGGTCAAGGGAAGACATCTGTAGATATTATTTATTTAATCAACAAAAAAAGCTGCCGATATAAGAAAAATCAATACAATAGAGAACTGAAACCTAATAAAATGAAAAAATAAAAAAGCCTATGGAAATTACAAAAATATCGAATACCAAATAATCCTAGCAAAAAAAAAAATATAATAATAGAGATGAAGAAATAACAATAATATTAATGTTAATGTGTGACGCATTCTTTGCTCAATTGGCCAAATAATATCGTATGGATCTGCAAATTCTGTGAAACCGAGACGTCCCAGATTAAAAAAAAGTCAGTTAACTGTTAATTAACAGGTAGCCAAGCGAACACATCGGTAGATATTATTTAATTCAACAACAAACAAAGCTGTCGATGTAAAAAATCAACTTAAACTTAATAAAACTCAAGAATAATAAATTCTAATTTCTATACAAAAATATCTAATAACGAATCGACCAAACGAAAAGAAATAGAGATGAAGAAATAACAATAATATTTCTAATAATATTTATATAAATATTTCTAAAAACCAGAAACAAAATGGATGTTAAATAAAACTCCATAAAGAATGCACCAAGATTTTGAATATTTATTGAACGGAATGAAGTACAAGAAAGCGGTTTACGTATTTGAGCTCTGACTAAACAAGGAAGTTACGTTCTCAGAGAGTATGTCACAAACACCAGGTTAGAGGACACCTATAATCACGTCGCAAAAGTCATTTAGGACCCAAGAAAAGTATGAGTATTATAACGCCTATATCATCCGAGAATTCAGACCAAAATTTTGAATACTTGAAAACAAATAAAAGAAAGCGGTCTAGGTATTAAACTGTGACTACACAAGATGATGAGAAGATGAAGCTTAAGGGTTTTAGAGACTATATAGCATACATCAAGTTAAGTTCCAGAACTCCTACGATATCATAGCTGATATTTCCAGCAAGAAACGGCGCCGCAAAAGTCATAATGGGACCAAAGCAAAGTATGATTATATCAACAGAGAATTTAGAGCTATAAATGGGGTCCCAACACAACATACAAGGCCTCAATGACTCCCCCACCAATATAATATATTAAACAAAAGTCTTAAAACCAATCGGAGAGTGAGGAAACATTTGGAATTCTAGAGTAGAAAGAGGTAACCATATAATACATGCTATATATTTCCATACTTGGCTTGTACTCCTTTATTTATTTATTAATGGAACATGCTATTTAGTATTTGAAACAAGTGAAATTTTTAACTCCACAAAGGCTAATACAATAACGCGTCTATATGCGAGTATATATTTTTATATCACAAGAAATTACACAACAAAAATTTGGCTGTCCATAGGAAGGTACTGAAATTTGTAAACAGTTCACAAGAATTTGAAAGCGTTCAGTAAAAAAATAGCAACGATGTCTAGTGCTTTTGTTGGCCTAATTCCAAAGCCAAAGAGAACGCCTTTAACATTATCTAGAGATTGGCTCAAGGGCTAGTTCTGCATCGCCAGCGCCCACAATGTCGCCCATAGATCGATTTCCAAACTTCGGATTAGACGATGGTGTTGTGGGGAGAGCCGAGACTTCCTGATCCACTTCCGTTGGCTCGGCTGGCAGCAAGTGCTCAACGCTTAGGGCGGATGCGAGCAATTGTGAGACAAACTCGGCGCGATGCAGAAGAAAGGCCGTCTGTTCTTCCGGCTCTCGCTCGGAACTAGGGGTGAGGAATTTCTGGCATAGGAAACGTGAACGCTCTTCCTCCCGAGCCGGCGGCTCGAGAGCGGCGACGGCATTTGGCTCGGGCGTCGCGATCGCCACATCGGGTGTTAGATGAGAAACAAGCATATCGGTTTCATCCATTGGCATCTCACTGAAGTCAAGGTAGCGTAGTGTGCGTGTATTGGTGTTGGCGCTGTTCCTGCTGCGGCGCTGAGTGCGACTGCTGTTGCCCGCGGTCGTGCCGCGGCTGGTAAAGGAGGAGGGACGTAACGCCGCCGAGGGAAGTTCACGCGTGAAGTTCTCCGATGTGAGGAAGAAGGCGCGTGGCACATTCTGCGCTGGAATCGAGGTGCCGAAAATGTTGACGTTGCGACCGCTGCCAGAGGGACCGCCACTGATGTAGCCAGTGGCCGGCGCATTGCTATCCAGCCAGCTCACATGATGGGGCGCCTCCTGCTCTCCATAGTAGCGTATGACGTCTGTGATGGTGATGTGCGGCCGTCCCGTGGTCGTCTGTGCGGGCGAAGCTGGTGGCGCCTCAGTTAGCGGTGGCAGCATGAAATCCAGTCTTTGGCGTTCCGCCTCCGACATAGTAAAGCGTAGATCCTCAATGTGAGATAAATGCAGCCGATTACGATCGAGTTCTCTGCGACGCAACTGGCGACGAGTGGGCGGTGCTGGCGGTGTATTGCTGCGTGGCATACGCCGAGCAGGTGTGGTTGCTTGGTTCTCTGCAGCGTTATGCGCATTGTTGTTGAGAGCATCAATAGCGGCCGAGCCATTCGACTGACTGGGATCACCAGGGCTACCGAAACTAGCAGGATTCCCCCCGAGACTGCCTGCATTTCTTCTTCCACGTCCTTGCCCCGCGACGCCGCCACCTCCACCGCCTCCATCGCCACCACCACCCCGTCTATTGTTTCTGTTACCACGCTCCCTTGTTGCCTCATTGTTTCTGGTTGCAGTCCTCGTCGTCTCGGGCCGCGGACGAACACGTTTATAGCTGCCATCCGGATTTAATGGCTCCAGATACAAATCGAGCGATCCCTCTGTCCGGTTCATCATCTCGTTGCGTGAATTGGCGGAGGCAGTAAATGCTGAGAGCTGTTCATCCTCCAGGAATATGCGGGCTGCCTGCTGCTGTTCAAATAACTGGACCATGGTGGACACCAGCAGGGGACTGGCATTGGGATGCACCGACGACACATGCTCTATTAATGTCGACTCATCGAAGCCCCATATCTTGCAGTACGGACAACGATAGCTCTGCGGCGGATCGGTGCTGATATATTCGCCGCCAAAGTACAGCTCGATGTCTGCTGGCGTGAAGACGCACTTCACCGGATGATCGAATGGGTGCTCAGATGTGGTAAAATCATTCTCATAGCACTCGGAACATATGTTAAAGTCTCGGCAGGCAAGGCAGCGATAACAACGTCCGGTGAAGCCTACTTTGCCGCAACCATTGCAAGCAAAACCCTCATGACGATTCATTTTGCTGGGAGGGTTATCACATTTTTTTTCTTGGTCTAATTTCTTTGTCGAAAGCTCTACTTACCCAGCGTAAATTGGTCAGACCAATTTACAGAATTGGAAACTCCGCGTTCTGGAAACCATAAAGTGTTTGCGCACAATGTTCTCAATAGAGATAGTACAACTGGCAAGATTAACGTAGGGACGAGATTCCTTGCTCTAGACTTTCCAATCGTAGCCCACTTGGAATATAGTATAGAGACGAATATTGAATTTAAGTAAGGATTGGCAGGCAAGTATTGCCAAACTATTTCACTCTATAGTCGAGTCCAAGTTAATAGCTAGAGTTCAATCAACACGTTCATCCTTTTCAGGCGGCAGAGAGAAGAACGTTTGACCTCAAAAAGTTGACTTGAATGGAAATCAAAGCGAAAAGCAATTTTAACAAAGTTATAAATTAATTTCAGTTGGCCAGTTGGCCGGCCAGCCCGCAGCACTCATCCATCCAAGTGGCCAACAAGCAACAATATCGTCAACTTCATTTGCAGCATGCCACAAGCAATTTGCTCGTCTACCTTTCTCGACGCTTGACCTCAACCATCCGCTTGACCCACGTTCAACAGCCGTCCACAAAGTTTATGGCAAACTTTGGACAGAGAAGAACAGAAACAAAACAAAAACAAACAAAAATTGACGAAAGGGGGAATACACAGAGAAAGAGTTCAAACGTTAAACAAGGCAATATTTTGTGGTTTAATTTTGTGGGAATGGGTCGGAGGATAGAGTGGCTGATCCGATTAAATTAAAAACTATTTTCATGTCATACATACATACATACATATAAATATATCGTATGTATGTACATAGCTGCTGGCTGGATCTTAGGAAAATAAATGCAAACGCACGACAGACTCAGGTGGATTGTACTGAGAAATGTTTCAGTGATTTGGAACGAAAAAGAAGAAATCACCAACTTGAAGCCTTATTTTTGATGTCTTTAAGCCCTCTATTCGCACTGGCACATCTTAATTTGAAAGGGGAATTCCCCTAACTTTATTGTCCGCCAATCTATTTCTGTTTACTTGCAAATATTTGTATAAAATGCTAACATCCCTATAAACTTATGAATATATTTTAATTAAAATATTGTCAGACAAAGTTAACTACCCTTTGGGTCCACGAATATTCATTTGAATGCTATTATTGGAAATAAACTACGCTTTGGGTCCAAAAATATTAATTTGAATGCAATTATTGGCTAAGTGAAAGCCGAAAAGCCCAGCGTTTAGCGTTCAATTCTGCGAAGTCAGTTGTTTCTGCTCTTGGCAATCAAATAATTCTAAAACCCCCTATGTTGGCCTAGCTGGGAGATTTAGTAAATAGCTTCCAAAATATTGATTTAAACTCCATGGCACTTTATACTGAAACAATCAATAGATTATCTGTGGGATTTTTAATTAATACATTCATATTTTAATGAAAATATTGTCAGACGCAATAAACTACTCTTTGGGCTTTAAAATATTTATTTAAATGAAATTAAATTGGCAGTTAGTTTCACGTTCAGCTTCCACTATTTCAATCTGTATGGGCTTGTGAATATAAAAATTCGAAGACCTCTACGGTAGGCCTAGTTGGGAGATTTATGAAACAGCCATCAAATTACCGATTTAAACTCCATGGCCTTTTACTTGTATACTGAAACAATCAATAGATTATCTGTGGGATTTTTAATTAATACACATTTTAATAAAAATAAACTAACCTCTGGGCCCAAAAATATTAATTTAAATGCAATTAAATTGCCAGTTAGTTTTCAGTTGAACTGTTCTAGCCACTCTTGACATTCAAATAGATATAAAAACTCCAATGGTGGGCCTAGCTGGGGGATTTATTAAACAGCCGCCAAATACTGAATGAAACGCCATGGCATTTCATTCTAAAAAATATCAATAGATCAATAGATTGAGGGATTTTCAATTAATACTCTTCTTTTTAAAGCTTGTGCTAAGCCCTCTATATTTGAGTTTTTAATGCGCTTTAAAAATAGTAGCCTTCAATGCATTTAGTTTAATAGCTATTTGTAGCGACAGGCAGCCACCATCACCTGACAAAAACATTTTAAGTCAAACCAAAACATATTCCACTTTTTTTGGTGCTAAAATGCCACAAGTTTCAACGAACCTATCACCAGGAAGGTGGGGGGAAGGGGGAACAGCCCACGAGTTGCATAGAAAGCACGCCCCAAAGCATAAAAGATCAACTAAAAATAAACAAGCTGCGACAAGTTGGAAGCTGAAAAGAAAACTTCCAGCGGGGCAACGAAGAGGAAAACTACAACTCGCTGAAGTAATAAGTTTTCATGCTTTTATTCCCCAAGCCAGAACAAAAACAAAAATACATACATATTAAAGAAGAAAAAATCGAGAAAAAGATGAGATATTTTTTTCGTTTTGTTAGCGGCTACAAATGAAAGGCCAAAGAAAACAATAAAGAAAAGTGCTGTCTGCTTCACGAAGGGGAAGCCAAGTAGGTGAGAGAGTGTGTGTGCGTGTGTGTGTAAAAAAAAGCAGAAGAAGAAGTTGGAACCGAAATGTTTTATTATCCATTTACAAATACACACGCCCAGGGAGTCGAGACTTCCAGCCAGGCCAGCAGAAAGCCAGCTATTTGTTTTCATATTCAAAGGAAAAGGAAAATTGCAGATTTTCTTGCTTGGTTGAGGCGCATAAAATTTTCACTTGGTCGCTTGCCAAAAGCATTTGATGTGTGACAGACAGACATGAGTATTACATACATATATCATACTACATTTACATGTAAGTACTTGGTAGGATGCTTGTGGCGCCAGAGCTAGGTACAAAAAAGCTGCGAGATGTTGGCTGATTATGTGCCGGCAATAAGGAAACGGAAATTGCCGAGCAGGCGGCATAAATGTTACATTGAATTGAAAAGTTAGTGAGGAAGGTTTGCATTTATTTTATTGTGGAAGCCGTTGCTCGGGCATTTACAAAAATATGGGTCGCTTTTTATATGCTTATCGCTTCAGTACAATACCAGTACATTATTTATTTTAGCCCCTATGTACAGCATTTCTAATCATTTTGCATTCGGTTTAATCAGCGTTACCATCAGAAATCAGCTGCGAATATTGTACAAGGGCAAATGAACGACGACAATGCGATACACTGCTTTTTATAAATAACATCTATGACGATTTTTATGGCATGTTCCAGCAAATATAAACAATTAAAGTATATTAGTTAATTCATTATAACTATATGTTAGATCATACAAAATTTGTTGTCTTTAGCTCTTACAGCATCTAAGATCAAGGTGTTCATACAGACAGACAGCAAATTCAATTTTAATAAGAGGCTTCTTAATATAGGACAACAATCTCATAATAATCACATAGCTTTTTCTGTTTGGATATAGGGTACACAAAAAAAGACTACAGAAATGACACCAACTAAGTAAATGTTAAAGTTTAACGCCATGATGTAACGATGTTTGATAAGCAGGTGTTTCAGGTGCATACGTGTCTTTGCAGTGATTCACTGATTTGATATTAAATTGGAGATTATAAAAGGTTACTTTTTTTAATTCCAAGATAACTATCTATAGGGCGATACAATTGTACAGATAACATACGAAAAACAAAGTTTATTTAAACTTTGAAATATATGTAGTGTATTACAAATAAGTTATTTCTATAAATGCTCTTTATGGATTAATTGGATTATGTTGTTTTGAGAGCTCTGCAATGATATTAATGCCATGGTTAAGTCCCTAAGCACGAGTTGTTTCAGCTACAGATTTGACTGATCAGCAACGCACATTTTAAATTAGAGATTGTCTGTCTGGATGAACGCCTGGATTTCGAAAACAGCTTAGCGCACATTGACAAAACTTGCTATATAGACTCTCCTAGTCCCTAGGCAACACGAGTTTATACATTTTTTTTGGTCTACTGTAGCATTCTCTCTTGTTTTTTAAATTCCAAGATACCCACCTATATGACATTATAGTCGTTAAAACCTTTTTCGAACTTTGGAATAAAAAGCCTACGTGTAAGTTATTTCTATATCCCTATTTCGCGTCTAATCATCTCTATAATTTAGTGATACCAGCCAGCTATGCTTTAACAAGAGGAAGGCCTGAGCAGAGGTTGATTCATTTAACACTTTACATTTATTTAAACAAAGTGCGAATTCACAGAAAAATTCAATTTCAGATGCGTTAAACGCCGTTTAGGCATAATACACACATATTTGTTTAATTGCTTAACATAAGTAAAAATTATTCACTACACGACTTGATAAGACGTAGACCCGTAATTGTGCAAGTTTGTTCTTCTTATCTATGACTGGTAACAGCAAATTTATAACTTGAGTTTAAACAGAAAATATTTTATCTATATTAATTTTGTTATGTTTATTTGCTACTCGCGTATAGAAATTTCGTCACTTACTCGTACTACGATTTTCGACAGTTCTGGGAATGCAAACAGATAAGCTGGCCGAGGGAGAGAGGTTTGTTATTTTTGGCGATTTTTCATGATAATATACACATAAAATTGGTCAAATCTAATAAAAGGGTATGGGGAGTAACCAAATTTGCAGATAGTAGGGCCCCTGAATTCGATGAATGGCGCTTTTATGTTTTGCAATTGATGAAGCCTTGAAATTGCAATAAAAAATAAATTGTTGCCGAAATAGTATAAAGTTTTGGATATAAAAGCTAGCAACACTCATCGGTTAACATTTTGTTATCGCTAAAGATATGCTAAGCCAGTCTTTTAATTGTATACTGACATTTTTGGGAGTTTTTTTTTGGAATTTTCCATTGCAAACATGATAGTCGTAGAGTATTAAGTTAAATTATTATCTTAAGGTAGATTCTGTTTACAAACTGATAATCCAATAATAAACTGCCTAAATGCTACCAAAACTAAGCACACATTTTAGGAATTTATCGGCAGATGAAATGTTTTCAACGAATTCCAAATCCAATTGGGGAGATCTAAGGAATATTTTTTCCAGTAGCAAGAATATCACATAAAAGAAATGAAAGGCACTTTACTTGTATATCGATACAAGTGATGATATTGTCTTACAATCATCTAAGTATAACTAAGAATTCGATTTGAAAAGAACAACTGGATATTAAGATATGTTTCTACATTTAAATGTTGTTTCGGCAAAATAGCGGATAATATTTTTAGTTTGTTTTTCAAAATGAATTTAGTTTGAAATTTATTTCAGAACGTATTCCATTATCCAATAGTTTAAGTGAAACGCTGATTGGTGTTCCCCATGAAGCAGTACTTAGAGTAAAGAAAAAAAATATAAATACTAGCAAATTGTAAAGTTGTGCTCTATATAGTTAAAAGCTAATATATAACAGTCCATATCAAATCTTTTTTCAAACCCTTAGCTATATTTAAAGTAAAACGATTCAGTTGCTCATATGGTACATAAATAAATGAATGTTTATGGCACCTAATGGACACCTAATGAATAATTGATAAACTTATCACAGCTTAAAAACGATTAGTCAGCACTATAATGGGCAATACGGGTATTTACGTTAACATGTCACGATTAGGTGTGCTCGGGCATGCTCGAAATTTCAATACAATTAATGAAATCTTGACAGAGTTGTGGCAATTCTTTTTCAACCTGAAAATTCTATAGGGGCCTCCACAGCCTTAAGCCTATGGGAGCAATGCCTGGCTGCCTGCTTAAGAAACCTGTGGTCGGCGCAAGGAAGGAAGAATGGAAACCACAACAAAGAACGCTCCACATTTCTGCGCCTGCCACAGTTGATGGCGTCAACCTCAATGCCTGAACCAGAAACCGAAAATTGCAGACGATGCGCAACCAGTGCGGGTGTAATGCACCCCATCCGGGCTCTTTCCAGATAAAGTACTAGAGACGTACATACATAGGTCAGTTCACTTACGCTGATTGCCTGCCTAGTTATGCGTAAGTGGAACAGCTGTTTGGGCTTCTGCAGAACAGCTGAGCAGCGCTTGAGAAAGGAATTGCGAATAAAATTAAGGAATGAAGTCAGCTTTATATGACACATAAAATGCCAAGGCAGGCAATACAAGCAAGCAGAGCTAAAATGTTAGCTTTTGGCTGCCACAAAATGTTGCCAGAACACGCAAACGGCCACGTTGGCGCCAATGCTGACGCGCATTCCCCCAAATGGAGCGAGCGAGAGAGATAGAGAGAGAGAGAGGGAACAGACGAAAAGGGCGTCGCTGTTTTGTTATTAGGACTCGGTTAAGGGGGGCACCAAATGATACTGTGGCGCCACAGAAAGTGGCAACTACGAACATGTTGAGGCCTGTGACCGCAAACACACAACGGGGACTTCACAGAGCAGTACGTGGCACATTTTTAAAAACTGACATGAAACAAATCGCTTTGCAGCAACCTCAGCAATATTTAGGAGCAAGCAAGCCTGTTTGTCCTTTTCAGGCAACATTTTTGGAAGAATTGCTCATTTTTTTTGAGCAATGCAAATTTTGTGCTTTTGGAGAAATATTAAAAGTATTTTGTGAAATTTGTGTTTGTTTTGAGTTGAATTTGTTTTTAAGTTTTCATGAAAACAAAAAATATAAGCTTAAGTTCCTGAATAATACTCAAACGGCGTTTTTCTGGAGCATAGTTTTAAAAGCAGATTTTTTGGCAAACTTGCTTGATAGAGTGTTGAATATTTCAGACCTATGCATTTATTTGTAAGACTGCTAATACGTTTATTTATATTAATAAGAGGACTATTTAATCGAGCTAACAAAACATATTTGAAATAAAATATTAAATTAATGAAGCTAAAACTCAATATTTTTTTGCAAAATGTGTAAAAGGTCCAACCACATAGAGTACCTATTTGAAGCAGAGTTTGAAGCCCATTTTTTTTAGCGGTTTCAATTTTTAGCCATATATTCTATCTATTTTTGGCGGACATATGTATACCTATTTTTCGTGCGTTTTCTAGATATTTTTAGAGGGATAAATAATATTTATCAGCATGACGAGGCGATTCGATGAAACCATTTCCGTCTGTCCGGCTGAACGCCTGGATTTCGTACACGACTGAGCCCACATTCACCAAACTTGGTATGTAGGCTCTCGTAATATTTAGGAAACACGAGTTTATTTTATTTTTCGTGCTTGCCCTACTTTTACATTCTCTCTAGTTTGAATTGGAAATGCACAAGAATTTAGGAAAACTACAAAGTTCTCTAACAAAACGGTTACATCTAATGAGCTATTAAAGACAAATGTTAATAATATTTTAAACGAATTATTAGAAATTATTATTGTAGTTTTAAAAGCTCAAGTCGCTTTATTTTAAAACTTACGCAAAAATATGCAACATTGTTTAATTATTTATTTATGGAGTTAGCTTAAAGTTATAACTATAAGCACGGATTTATAGTCTGGCTACCAATATGCAACAAACATATTTTACAAAGTTGTAAGTAATTGTAAAAGGGACGGTTTTTTGTTAAGTAAAGTTAATATAATAAGTGCCTGAGACACTAGAACTGAATTTCCTGGTTGCCTAAAATGTTTGCTGTGAATGTTTAATTCCACGTCATGTTAGGCCTCAAAGACCCCGAGACCAAGCCTTTACACACATATGTATGTATAGGTGTATAGGTATATTTATGTATGTGTGTGTGTGTGTGTTTAATGGTGGCCCTGTCGCAGGACCTGGCGCTATATTTGGCACGCACAGCCAATTGCGCCCGTTGTGTTGTTTGTACTCGTATATACACAAAAGTTATATTAAGCAAAGGTTTGGTATCCGTGCCCTTGCCCGCTTTTTATTGATTTCGCATTATTGGGCTTAATTAAATATTTATTGAGCCGACAACTTTGGCCAGCAACAGCCTTAGCCACAGCCATAGCCACAGCATCCCATTTATCTCTTACCTCCAAGCCAGCGGCACCATGGGCAGCGTTTGTTTTATTGTTGGCCGCAAGTTTTGATTGCGTCGCTCCGGCCAGACATGATCAAATTTCAGTTTTAGCCCAAATTGTGGAATTGCACTCATTTCGCCGCCTTGTTGCTCCTCATAGTTGGCGCTGATGGAGTCTGCGGCGAGGGCTGGAGTGGGGGCCGCAGGTGTCCCGTTTGCCAACGCGCCGTTGCTCAGTGTTGTTGTTGTTGCTGGTGTGGCCATTGCGCGCTCTGACTAGCCGTTACTTGTTCCCTCGGTGGTTAATTGCAGTTTGCTTTGAGGTGTCTTTAATTGGTTTTTTGTTATATTTAGTTTAACTTCGTGCACCTCATATTAGCTTCACTATACTTTCTCCCACAATAAATTTGTCTTTTAACAACACGCGCGGACACAACACGATACGAAACGGCGAGCGGCAGACTGATGGACGCTGAACGAATAAGTGTCGCAGCTCCAGCTGTTTGGTTCAGTGCTGGACAGTGTTGGATGACGCCCAGCTGGCGCAACAATTTGAAACGCTCTGGCAATATGGGCTGATTGCTGTGTTGTGTAATGAAACAATTGGCGCCACATTTAAATTGCTATCGATATGTCAGTTTACTGTTACTTTGTCACACACATTAAAAATTAAAGCAGAGTTTAAGAAAACAATTATAAATAACCTAAACACAAAGCAGAACATCCCACTGGCTAATACAAAATCTGGATATATAGATATAGATATATAAATATACACCAAGCTCTGTTTTTACACGGTTTTGATTTAACACGATTTGAAAATTAAAATTTTTTTATACTACTATTTGTATATAACACAAAATAAGTAAATAAAAACACACACAGCTGACAAACAACTAAAAACCATTCTCATATGTGTCGTTATGCATATATGTGATTTAATAAAATAAATATAAATTCTTGTTTTTTTTGACTGATTTTAATAGGTTTTAGACAGAAAGAACCAATCACATATTTTTGCGTACCATCAATGGCTTTTTTACACGGGTTTTTTCTGAAACCAATCTACCGTGTAAAAACAGAATTAGGTGTAATATAATAAGATTGTTTCCCTAAGAAAAGTAAAAAAAAAATATAAAAAAATTAATCTATCATCGATTTATGTTGTTATATATTTAAATCCTATACATTACGAATATTTCCTGATTTACTAGCTATTTTCTTGGAATGCCCTTACCTCTCTTCTGAACAGAACTTTGTCTTTTTAGTTAATAAAAATAATCTTTTAACTATAGCCCTGGAAATATGTAAACTTACTTGGCTGAGAGGCATAGCTTGACGGATTGGCTATTAATTCTCATAAGTAAATTAATTATTATTATTGCTATTTGATTAGGTTTTTCAAATGTAGGATTTTTTCTCTTAAAAGGCTTTATTAAACCGCGTTTATTTTATCATATCCGGCCGATATTTGTCAATTATTCATATTATTGAATAAATAATTAACTTTTGATTCGACCATTATGTTATTTAGTTTTGTTATGCATTTTTATTTGTACAAAATAAATTAAAACAAAATACTTAATAGGTGGCACGTGCTTACCATGACAGTGATTTAAGTAGCGATCTATTATGTACAGTTTTAAATAAAAAAACATAAATTAAAAAATATTTCTTAGGCCGGAAAATAGTTGTTGAAAACCAATTCGGTAACTGGAGCTGTACAAAGGCACTCAGACAAATTGTTAATTTATTTCTGCACTGGATTGGCTTTCATCTTCAACTAAGGCTGCTCATGTGCTTCTACTCTTAGATTTTTCTCGTATTTCCTATCACAAAAGGTATTCGTATTTATTTGAGTGAGTGCAGGAGATTCTTTAGAATGAAAAGTGCAATTTTTAATTTGCAAGCATTACGAACTGAGAGCCTCTTTTAAACATAAACGTAAAATAAATAAAATATAAACAAAAAGCAAGAGTCTAAGGTACACACTTAATAAGTAGTAGGTATATTGTATGATTGTTCTTAATAATATAGTGATAGTTTGGGATTTGAAATGCAGTCACTGGCTATAAAAAGTTGTCATCTCTCATCCGAAAATAAATATAAACCTATGCCTAACTTATATGGCAGTGTTATGCTTGCACTTTTCTAATTACTGGACGTTGGCTTAAGCTAATCCCTATGGCTATAAAACTCATTTTTGATCACAATGCATTTTGGAAAAGTTTTGGTGTGGCATCAACAGGAACCATAACGCTCAGAACGACCGGATCAGTTATCCTCATTGGCGATCAGACATTCGCTGAGCAGCACATTATGTAGATCGTCCATTTCGATCCAGTCCCTCCGTTCGTTGCGTATGGAAACGTTGCGTATGCAGCCCTTAAAGTTCTCCCGAGAGAGCAGACATCCACTTGGTGCTATATCTGTGAATGTATAAAAATTAATAAAAAATGTTTGCATTTGCAGTTTATTTGAAAAGAGAAATACGCACCCGGCAAGCCGCCTATATAGAGCGGTGATCGCGTTTGCACCTTCCCGGGATTACTCTGAGCTGTTTCGGCGATCGTGGCAGGCAATTGATCGATTCTCAAAGCGATCTGCTTATAGTCATAGAGCGCCGATATATTATGCCACTTGTTGTCGCAGAGCGCGTATTTGCTGGGCAGCACAGATTGCACCCTAAATGGTACGCCATCGCCCAAATCGCAGGAGAAAATAATCTACGGAAGAGGTACAAAGTAATTGTGAGTCCAAACAAATCTTAAATAACTACTATTTATAGGTTTTATAGATGTTTTCGCAATATTTTTGGTATATTATTGAACTAGTTATTGTTAGAGTTTCTATTTCCACTGTGATTATTATCGGGCTTGATTCTGATTTTTATATATTCTTGTAAACATTCAGGGAAGGATCTAGTTTTAAATTAAAATTTATGATTTTTATATATTTTCTTGTAAAAATTCAAGGGCAGACATGTCTTTAATTGAACATTTCACATTCTTATATATCATTGTAAGCATTCAAGGGAAGACCTATCTATAATTAAAATGTCTGATTTTTATATATGCTTGAAAACAATAAAAAAAATATATATCTATAATTAAAATGTCTGATTCTTTATATATTTTCTTGTAAGCATTCAAGGAAAGCCCTATGTATCTATAATTAAAATTTCAGATTCTTATGTATTCTTTAAAACAATTAAAAATGTATCTATAATTAAAATGTCTATTTCTGTTATATTCTTTAAAACAATAGAAAAACCTATCCTTAAATTAAAATTTCTGATTCTTTTTTATGCTTGAGAACATCTTATCTTTAAACTAAAATGTTGTTATATATTTTTGTAAGCATATTCTAGGGAAGATCTAGCTTTAAATTTATATTTATTTAGATTTACATTAAAAATATAAATGTAAATTTTTCTTTATTTAAAAAAAATCTTTTGTATCTCTTATGTATTTTTGTATTTTTTTAAGTTTTTGTTACCATAATATTTTGAAATACGCAAAAAAATGCTAAAATTTGTCATAGCTTTTGAAGTTACGATCTTAAAAGGTTTATACTTTGGGAATCGCCTATTGTTTCTATTCTTTTTTTAGGAAAAGTTGCACTTACATGGCCATTGTTAAGCTCCAGCGATAGTGCTGGAAAGCCAGTGGGCTCGGAAATACTTAGCAATATGCCCGATAGCTCCGAGGTGCGAAATTCCATTTCCAATTCCAAATATTTGCCCACATGGAAGCTTTTCTCTGCAAGCAGAAGGTTCATTGACAATTCCTGAATATATAGAATTTTGGACTTAACACTCACTGTAGATGGCGTAGGCATCGCCCGGAAAATAGCTGCCCCGCTCCACTGTTGGAAAACACTGTCCCACATTCGAGTGCTTGCCGGGACGCGCCAGATCCTGGGTGTTATTGTTGATGGCGACTCGTCGAAGGCAGCCCTTGAACGGGTCCAGGCGCAGAAACAGCTCGGAGGGCACTTTGACCGGCGCCTGTGGCAGTCCACCGACCAGCAGCACCTGGGAGGCTCCGATTTTCTTCGGCACCTTCATCTGTGCCGAAGTCTTCTGATCCGTGCGTCCGATTTCTACAGACATGGTCACCTTGCGATCGTGGCAGCTGACGGTCACCCTGTGCCACTCCCCATCGTTGAGCTTGGCGGTCAGTTGGAGCTCCTCCCGTCGACGTCCGCGCACTATGAGCACCAGCTGGCCATCCTTGAGCAGCAGGGCCACATAGTGTTTGTGCTTCTCCTTGCTGCCGGGCGACAGGAAGATCATGCCATTGGGATAGAAGGAGCGGAAGTCGAAGCTCAGATGAAAGTTGCGCTGCCAATAGTGACGTTCCGGTAGCTTTAGTTGCGAATAACTGTACATATCGTCGCCGAATTTGAACGCATTCGGCTCGTAGGAGTAGCTGCCGATCTGGAAATGTGGGTTTAACATTCAATTATTTACTTAGTTCTACACACTTGGCTAACAGGAACTCACAACTCACCACGACTTTGTGTTAGTTCTGAGCTTTTTGAGCTTTTCTGAAGCGCGCGCTCAGGGCGCTTTTTAGTGAGTTACAAATAAATAATAAAAACGTTTGCATGATTTTTGGTTTCTTGTTAAAAAAATGTTTATTTAAACGCAAATATTTAATAACAATCTATGTATGTAGTTCGAAGTTGAAGCAAGTGTGTTAAAAATTTTTATGATACACATGTGTGAAAGCAAAAACGTACACAAAGCGTTGATGAGCAGATGAAATGATTGACTGATTGACTGATTGATTGTTGCACATATAGTACTTATAAGGGTCTTAAAGGCTAAGCTTAAGCATAATTAGTTAAAACATAATTATATGAAATATTTACATAAAAATGTTGTAGCAAAAAAGTTAAAATACATATGAAAAGTAGACGCTTATACTATTGTGTTACCAGAAAACCTCTTTGAGCTTAAAACTAGATGGTGTTGGGACCTATGCCTGAAATGGGCTTGCATGAGTGGAATTACGGATAAATGATAACTTTGAATGGAGTTTCTAAAGTTAAAATTTAGTTCCTAAAACATTCTAAAGTATTTCTTTAAATACTTAAAAGATTATTCGGAAAGAAGACACTAGAAGCTGATATTCCAAGATGATTAAATGAATTTCATATCAATCATATTTTTTAAGAGAGTTTCAAAAGCAGAATGTCAATTCCTAGAACATTCTAAGGGAGCATTTCTTTCAACACTAAAAAGATAATACGTTTATATTGAAAGATGATCAAAGGTAGTGCAGATAAATGATATTTTGGAATATATTGAATTCGATATTGTATATATTGAATATATTTTCAATTCTAAGCATTTCATTCAATACTAAAAAGATAATACGTTTATATTGAGAGATGATCAAAGGAATTGCAGATAAATGATAATTTTGAATAGACTTTCAAAAGAGTTTCAATTCTTAGCACATTCTTAAGCATTTCTTTCAATGCCAAAAAGATAATACGTTGATATTGCAAGATGATGAAAGTAATTGCAGAAAAATTATATTTTTGAATATTCTTAAAAATGTCTTTAAATACTTAAAAGATTATGCTAAAGAAAGACACTTAAAACCAATAATGCAAGATGATGAAAGATATGATCTATACAAAACTATTTAGCTTGATATAAGATTTAATAATGTTAAGCAGCTGATCCGCAAATAATGATCTTTCATGAGGGTGTTGGAAAATGTTGTCTTACGGTTTTCATCTCAGAAATTGATTTTGAATGTAGCTCCTAGTCACAAATTTTCTTTAGATAAGCATTTAAAATATGATTTTAAGAAATGCTTAATGTTGGAGCAAGATTTAAAATACATGTATTTGAACATCAGTTAAGAAGATGTTCTTTGTCATTAATATAGAAAGATGAGGCCCAAAGATAGCCTTGAAAGTCATAACTAAAAGATTATTGAATATATTGATTAGGAAATATATTTAATTAGCTTGTTAGATGATCTTCAAACTGAGAATGAAAGTTGATGTGGACAGTAATTTTAAAGAAAAATCTTTGCCGCTGTTGATGTGAACTTAAAAGATAGTAGTCTTTAAATAGATCTGAAATGATGCTCTTAAGGATTGTCACAGAAGACTACAGTCTGCATAGCCTTAAAAAATGATTCAATGATCTCTTTATAATAAATGAACAAATACTTTTAAGAGCAAATAAAGTTAGCTCGATTTTGCCACAAACATGCAAGCCAATGGTCATTTGTCTTTTGTAGGAAGAGGTTAGGTCTGTATATATGTATGTATTCGATAATAAAATGCATCTGATTTTTGATCAATCCACTTGTAGTATGTTTTGTTAGCTTTTATGCGAAATTAGTATACAAAAGAGCTTTAGTGTTGTTCTTTTTTTATTTTTGTAGCGCGGCGCTTGAAGCTTTGACATAATTGCTTAGCAACTAAAATCCTATAAGAACAAAGAAAAATGTTTTGAATATATAGTATGTATATGAAGTTGAGCAGTTAGGCAGCCACATAATGTAAGAGTATTTACATGCAGTTGAGTTTTTTTTTTTTTTTGGGTGTACACAAAAGAGTACAGTTAGATTAACACTCAACTGCTCTGTGAGTGATAAAATGCCATTCCAACCCAACCATTCCAGCCCCTTGAGTCCCGATCCAAAGCAAAACGAAAGCGCATCAACAACTTACCCGTTTGCAACCCTCCGGCAAGGGTGTAAAACTATTGGTAAGTATTGGTTCCGTCTTCAATAGCACATCATAGAGGTCGCCCTTCAAGCTGCTCCCCATCAAGGGTCCATTGCGTCCGATCTGCACGTTCGTCACGGCCAACGCATCATTGAAGTTAATGGTGCGATTATTGAAGACGACATCGCGCACTGCCCCCTCCAGTTTTATAAAAGTGGGCGCCAACGGGGTAAATATCTCATGCGGTGGCGCTCCACCAATGTACAGGCCACCCGCATCGCGAGGCATGCCAATCACTGTTGGTGTGCCGCTTAGGCTGCGCACATCTTGCAGCTCATCGTCGACCATTAGCTCCAGTTTGCGACCCGTTTTAATCAAGTTAATGACATGCAGTTCGCCATCGTTCAGTTGGCTGCTGTTCGAGAACATCTTGACGAAACTGCGACCCGTATGGAGCCACACTTGCAGCTGACCATCGACCAGGCTAATGGAGTAGTTGCCCCTGATATCCTTCTCATCGTAGTCGGCGAGCACCTCTGGAGGGTAGGCGGAAAGCAGCAACAAGCAATCGGGCTGCTGGGTTCGGAAAACCAGACCCATATTGGCGCGCTTGCGTAGTGTTTGCGATGGCAGCTCCAGATATCCATTGCCCGTGAATCCAGCTCTGCAGATAGTTTAAGGAATTTCGTTATAAAACAAGCGTTATTTCTAAAGCGAACTGAATCACTTACTTGGTTATCATAGTCTTGCAGGCCGACTCAATGCCAAAGTATATGGAACTTTCGAGCGGATCGTATGTTTCGCCATCCACCTGCACATCCATCATGCAGCCCATGAAGGGGTTATCAGCACCAGGGGCTTTCGTGGAGCCTGATGTGAAACCTATAAGCAAGATGATATTAAAAATGTTGAACATTTTTTAGCTTTCGTTAGTTTTTAGACCCTGTACTATCTACGACCCCATAAAGTATATTATATTATTAATCAGCCTGAAAAGATGAATCGATCTATATATATGCGTCCGTCTGTATGAACGCCTGGCTTTCGGAAACGGCTAAGCGCAAATTAAAAAAACTTGGTATGTAGACGCTTCTAGTCCCTAGGCAACACAAGTTTATTTTATTGTTTGACTACCCACCCCCCTCTCCCGGCTACAGAATTTCGTCAATACTGTCCACATTTCAAAAGCTGCATAAAGCAATCTTTGTACAATCATCTATTTGATTTAAATTTCATCCAAATCGGTGAATTCGAAGAAAAGTTATTAGTGAAATAATTTCGCTCCACAAACTACAACTTCAAGTATGCTCTACTTCTTCTTTTTGTTCCTGCTGGGGACGCATGCCGGAAGTTTGTCTGGGTACAGGGTATTTGTTCTCTCTTGTTTACAATTGATCTTACCTGGTGGTACACCGCCTAGGTAGTACAGAGCCCTCGACAAATCCGGCTGCATGTGACTCTTTATGGGTAGTGTGGGGGCCCCCGAAATAGCGCGTTCATTATTCACACGTAAAATGCCGTTCTCGGTACTACGCCGCATAGAGAATTCACGTGCGGCCTCAATTTTGACCCATTGCCCGGTATTATACTTCTTGGTTGTGTTGATTTCCAGCTTGGACTCTTCGCCATAATCAATGCGGAACATAATGCGGCCACGACTAAGCGTTACAGAAACCGAACGGTTCTAAAAGGAAGCAACCATTAGTTATGCGTGAGCTCGGAGTATTCTTGCAAGAGCACTTACATTTTTATCATCCACCGCCAGGAAGAGTAACGCATTCTCGTCCAGTGTACGGAAAGTCATTTGCAGTGCAAATATGTTCCTTCGGTATGGCCGTGGACGGGTCTTTCGTAGCTCCGCATAGCCTAGGCCGTTGAAGTGACGTGCCACCGAAGAGGCGGACGATTCTACGGCCCCAATCATAGCACCGCCACAACGACCCTCGCTAGAAACAAAGTTCCACAGGCCCAGACGTTTGTTGTCCACCTCGATATGGTGCACAACGACATTCATGCCAGGCGTTAACTGCAGATCTTTGGAGGCGTAGCGACCCAGTGTGATGCGCTCATTTCGCGATTGGAAGAATCGCGTATGCTCGGCATCTGTAGAGCCACTCTTTGGAGTAGACGCTGTGAGAGCTCCATAGTTATTCATCCTCTGCACTAGCAGGCTACCCAAATTTAGCGTGCGGTTTGCTTCCACATGGTACCAGGCATCATCGTATTTGGGATCTCGTGTTTGCACCTCCAGCGGATGCGTAATCGTCGCCGTAGTACCGCCGAGATACCAAACGAGACGCACATGACGTTTGTACAACTCCACCGAGATAAAGCGACCATCACTTCCTTCCACATAAAGCAGAGGGGAGTTGCCCATGTGATTGGATAAGGCGAAGCTTATTTTAAGAGTATTTGAGGTGGTCAGACCATAGGATGTGGGTAGATAGGACCGTATACACTTAGGACCCAACGATTCCAACGAGACGTCGATCTGTGAAATTAATAAGCAGGAAAAACTAGGTTAAGAACAAGTTTTCTCGACAAGTTATGGCAGTTTTGAAGAGTGGGTTCCAAATTGTTCAGAATACCCAGTCAAGGAACTAATATATGTTGAATTACGATAACAAATTCTATAGATAGGATTATATTTCTTTAATTTATGAAAACATATTTAAGAGGCAAAATAAATAAATAGTTCTATAGTACGGAATTGGAACTATTTCGTCTCACGGTAAGGTTGTTATAAATTGTTCACTAAAATGGTGTATTAGATTGAAGGTTGTGTTCGAAATATTTCAGATTACCAATTCAAAGAACTAATAGACGTGGTATTAAAAAGATGTTCAATATAAATAGTCCGGAAGCGGAACTGTTCGAATTAGGGTTCCTACTTGTATAAATTTGTTACTAAGATGGTGTATTAGATCCCAAGTTTTCTGATTAACTTACCCCCTGTGCGGCATGCTTGGCCTTGGCAATAGTATCTCTCAGTTCCTGTAATTGCTTAGCCATCGTGTTGTTCCAAACTTCGAAAACTTCCTGCTCCTTGCGTGCCTGCTCCTCGATGTAAGTGAGCGACACATTAGCGATGCGTAAATTCGTCTTGGTCAGGGATATGTTCTCCTCGGCCATGCCCAGTTTGATTTCCCAGTCGGGCTCGAGTATTGCAAAAGATTTACGCAACTTCTGTATTGATTTTTGCATTTCGCGCGCCTTTCTCAACTCCGCACGCATTTCCTCGCTAACCTTGTTGGACATTTCGAGGCTGTCGATGGCATTGCGACGAGCCGACGTGGTCGCCAGACCATGCAAATGACTGCTAATATTGTTCGTTCGGAGACCTGAATCGAATATAGTCGACTTGATGCGTTCAACCTTTTGCTCCTGATGCCGTAGTTGTCCTTTGAGAACTGTGTGCAAGAGGAGGGAGTTACTTTTTCTCACCCTAACAGGAGGCTATGGCACTTACCCGTGGATTGCTGCATTTGCTGCAGCGCCTCATTTTGCAGCTGCTTGGATCTGTGCAGCGAGTGCTTGGCTCGCTCGATCATGGAGCTGCCATCGCTGGGATAAAGCGTTGCCTGTGCTGTATAGACACGCTCCTTAGCCTCTAGCGAGGCCTGGCGAGCAGCGTCAATGGCCAAGGAAATGTTTTTATGTGCGGAACTGAAAAGAATGCATACAGAAAGGGTAAAGCCTAGCCTTAGAGTCGATCGTTGTTGTCGATCTTACCTGGCTAGCATGGCAATGCGTGCCCCATTCCGCGTCGGCTGGAATTGACGTGCGTACTCATTGGAGCGTTCCATCAAATGGTTGGCATGCTTCTCGGCCTTCGGCAGCCAATGCTTGCGCACCTCACGATGCAGCTTCGATTGAGCGTCCAGTGTGGTATTCAATACGGCTCCTCTGCTATTCAATACATTCAGCTGCTCAATGAGAAACTCCTCATGTTGCGAGTTCGTATCCAGTAGTTCCTCGGCAAGTTGGGCATAGCTGGCATTTAGTTGCTGTTCGGCTTGCGCACTCAGTTCTCGAATCTCCGCATGCTGCTCAGCCACATGACTATTAAGGTTGCGTACATGCTCCAGGACATCGTCGGCCTCGTTCTCCACATCTAATGTGCGATCCAGATGCAGTTGCATGTCTGACAGGCGAAAGTTCGTCTGATTCAGGTGACGGGAGAACATTTCCAGGCGAGCCTGCTGATCGAAAGCTGCATCGGAAGCATTGCCAAAGCGATAGAAGTGCTGCCAGGCGCAGTCGTTGGTGTTGCGTATGTGCTTGACCAGCTGCTCGTGCTGTCGAATGGACTCCAGATAGAAGCGTGCTTGCTTGAGGGCTGTGGATAAGCTCAAGTGCTGGGCTCCCTGTCCATAGCTGTCCAAATCCTCGAGCGTTTGCACAATGTCCGCGTGCAATGTGCCCACATCGCGCCGCAGGACATTAGCCTCATCCTTCATGGCCTCAATGGCATGCTGACGCTTGCCAATCGTAGCCACCGCCTTGCGCCACTGATACTTGTTGTTCTCGGCATGGGCGTCTATTTTGAGCAGCCCTGCCGCATCATAACTAATAAGTAGCTGGCGAGCCTGCGCAAAATTCTGCTGACGTGCCCGCCAAGTGTCGTAGGCCTTCTCGTAATGCTCCACCATCAGGTAGGGTGCGGGAATGCCCGTCAGGTCCATGTTGTGCAGACCACGACGCAGCTTGCGACCCACCAGTTCCACATAGTCCAGCAGCAGGAGAGTGCAGTTGTCGCAAACTAAAGTGCACATCGATTAGGAGGAGGTCTGTTGTGTGTCCTACAAACATGCTACTTACGCTTGCAACCGTTGTCCAGCAGATGATGACGCGGCGCTACACACTTGTCGCATTTAAGTCCTGTGACTCCCTCGCGACACTGGCATTGCCCCGTCTCGGCATCGCAACCCTCGGCGCTTATGCCATCCGGATTGCAATTGCAGGCCTGGCAGCTACTGTTCGGATAAGCCATGGGCTGACCAAAGTAGCCGAGACGACAGCGCTCACATAGACGTCCCGTGTAGCCGGGCTTGCACACACAGCTCACTTCCCCATCCCAGACATTGCAGCCGCGGGCGAAATTTCGATTGGTTTCCGGACAGGGACAGGCCTGGCAGCCATGCGGGGAGTTTGGATCCCCATAGAAGCCCTCGGCGCATTGCTCGCAGTGGGAGCCGCCGCTGTTGCTCCGACAATTCTTTGAGAGACATAAAAATCAGGTAAATACAAATTTCAGATGCCACTATCCTTAAGGTTTAAGGCCCATGTTCCAAAAGCAAAGAACTTTCGTTATTTCTCCAAACAGATGTGCAACTCACCAAACAAACGCCTGATTCGCGATCACAGTCCGTGCTACGACCATTGCAGTGGCAGGGCGCGGCTCGTCCAATGAGATCCTCAATGAAGACAGTCTCGATTTCGGAGACGTTGCGCCATCTGTAGAAGGAGCGTCCCGGATCCTGACAGCTAAGACCGTCGTAGCGCTTGGGGCACTTGCATTGCTCCACACCCTTGGCTATCAAATTTGTGGAGCCTTGTATATAAATGGCCGCATCCATATGCACATTTTGTATTCTACATATATATACGAAGAGCATTGGAATTAATTTAGCCTCGGAGTTGGAAAGAATGAAATAAATTACTCACACAACTTGCGTAAAGTCCGCAAAGGCAAAAGCACGCACAAAGATGTGCTTGACATTTTGGAGTGCGGCCATCAGGGTGCCACGATCCACCGCCTGGTTATTGTGATGGAGTTTCCAGTAGGATTCGTGCAACGGCACCTTGTAGGTTACATTGAGGGCATATTCGTAGGCCTCATATTCGTAGAAGTCCAATACTAGCTTGGTGTGTGCATGTAGCTGGACCAGCGGGTATTGCGAGAGAATCTGACGTTCGAGGGGTTTGTGCGCACCCTCCGTGAGGAGCGTAAAGTACAAATGGCCGCCATAGCTGGTGGTGCGATCGCCATAGAATTGCGGCGGCAATTGAAAGTAGAGTGGCTGATAGAATGGACCGAAGGCGCCAATCGATACATTTCCCGTGGAGCGGGGCACCAAGTTCAAATCGTTCAGTCGACTGATCTCGGCATCCTCACGATACGATTGAGTGCCCGCCATTTGTACAACCACAATGTATTCATATTCGCCATTGGGCACATGCTGAGCGCTCATGTATTGGACACTCAGATTGCGCGACTCGGACATTCGTATGTGTCCCCAGGACAAGGCACTCTGCTCGCATTCGGCCGCACGTCCAAAGCAAAAGCAACGCGTACAGCCCTCCGGATTTAGGGCGGACAGACCAAAGGTCGACTGCATGCAGGTGTCGCACTTGAGACCGACCACCAGCGACTTGCAAGGACACTGGCCATTGGCATCGCAGGCAATCAAACCGTCAGTGCGCACAAAGGAACCCTCCGCATCGCAGCCACAGCGTCGACACTCCGGATAGCCGAAGTAGCCGACAGCACAGCTGTTGCAACTCCGACCCGCATAGCCCTCGCGACACTGGCACTGCCCATTGGCGCTGGCACAGTACTGACCAATCGAACCCACATGATCGCATTCGCACTCCCGACACCCCAATCGCGCCTGCCAACCCCAAGTACCCGGCACGCATTGGGCGCAGCCCAATCCTCGCGTGAATTTCGGGCAGATGCAGCGTCCATTCAGCGGATCGCACACCTGACCCTCGGCAGCGCAGGCGGCGCAGCGTTGACAGCCCTCGGTGGTGAAGCCAAAGAAGCCCTCGGTGCACTCGTTGCAGCGCTGGCCACCCACACCGATCTTACAATCGCACTGACCCGTCCAGGGATTGCATTCGTGAGAGCGCGAGCCGTAGGGATCGCACCGACAATCCAGACAGCCGACCCCATGCGTGAGGTTCCAGTGGCCCGATTTGCATTTGTCGCACCGTCTTCCCGTCACATTCGCCAGACAAGCACACTGACCCGAACGCTTCTCACAGATGTGCGACAAGGATCCAATGCTGCTGCACTGACAGTCTGCAGAGAAAGAGAATGTGAGATGAAAGTTTTATTAATTAATGAGAGACTTAACTGTAAAAGCAGAACAACACCAATGCATAGGCAAATTAATCTAAGTATGGGCAAGTCATAACTACGAGTTCACTATATTTATATTACTTTCGAGCCTGCTTCCTAACTGTGCCACATATTGGCCTCTGGCTGCCAAGTGCAACAAACATGCATACAATTTGCAACGCTCTGACGCTTCATTTTTAAACTCCAACTCAACAAGGAAGGCCAATTACAGCACAGTGGCTTGACATCACACAAAAAAGGGCGCAGAAGAATGGCGAATATTTCAATAAAATTAAAGTTTTAAATCTCGAAATAGTCGCTATTATTACTGCTGCGATATTTACAATTGTACTTTTCTCTTCAAATAGAAATTTACAAATTAAAGATTTTCTTTTCGATATGTCCCATACAAATATATTTGTTATAATATAACAACTTGTAATGAAAACATGTACCATACATTATCGCCGAAGATGTAGGAGAATGTGGAATGTATCTTCAAAAATAACAAGAATTCCACTAACATTTCTTGTGCTTTGCAAAAAAGACGTTAAAATTGAAACTTCATTTCAAAAATTATAATTAGTGCTGAATTTCAAAGATAATATTGTCTCATTTGAAAGAAATGATTTGCAATTAATTATGTTGCATCAACAATATTGCAATATTTATGATTTCCTTTATTGCTAAATTTTGTATTCCTCAAACATTACGTCGATTTCACAAGAATTTTTTCTTTTTTCGGTCACAACGTTTACGTTTTCCAAGGATTTGTGAATTTTCCCAATGCAGAACCTTTTTAAGGTTCTTTCAAATAAGGCCAATGGGAGGCAGTCTAATACTTTGAGAGAGATGCCAATAATTTCTTTTCCTGAAATGGGCTAAAACCTAATAAATTTAATGGAATTCCGTATAATTAAAATTAAAAATAATAATTGGGGCTCTATTTAAAAAACCCTCTTATCGGCTCTGGATTTTGAAATATTGAATATATTTCATATTTTTAGTCATAGCGGTACAAATTAATGGTACTTTTTGAAGTGTTCTTACAATAAGCAACCCAGAAGATATTACAAATATTGGTGGAGAGAAAAAGCGGAAAAATAATGCAATACAAGGTCTCAATATATCTTTTTAATACTCCTATAAAATTGTTTCATTAAATAATTGTTTTCACTATATATGTAATCCGTTTCGGATTGTAGTATGCTCAAAATTTTCTAAACTACTATATTAAATCAAAATATATAACAACTTTACTTATTGGTATCCCCTATTTCTTGTTATTATTGTTCCACTGTGCAGCGTCAGGCCATTCATGCCGTTAGCCAAGTCTGCCAACTCGCCTGTCGCACGATATTTTTGTGGGCAGCGCGTAGGCAGCGCCGCAAACCCGCCCACATTTGCGTAGAGTTTCCTTACTTACCGGCGACAAACGGAAAATCGAACGGGCGGGAGCTTGGCGGGCGTGTTGCCGCGCTTCCAGACAGACAAGTCTGCCGGCATGCATACAAATATATAAATTCATTCATAAATCCGGTAAAACCAACGCAAAAATATTTAAATTGATTGCGCGATCTACGAGTATAAAAAGGCACCAAATAAATAAAAAAAATAAAGCCAAACTATAGCTTTATTTGATTTTTTATATGCTCTTCCCATCAATATTTATTTCTTTATTAAGATGAAAGTTGTTGGAACTATTTACCAACTTTAGAGATAAAGTATAGATATTGCTGCAATTATACATAGACAAATAAATATGTATGCTAAAAGTTGAAAAATATTAAGCATCTATATAAACCCAATTAGGATTTGATGAAAGCAATCCGCTGGCAATGTCAGTGTTGAAAAATCATTTATCATTCGCAAATGTTGTGTGTTGCAAGCTGGCTAGCTAAGGCTAAGGACTTGACTTGACTACGTCATAGGAAGTAGGGGAGCATAAAAATAAGTGTACAACAAAAATATGAGCATAGCACGCGACAAGGTGATTGTAGTTAGACAGCGTTGAGGAAGCAACGACAGAGCCTTGAGCCAGACGGAGACTGAAACTGTCAAGCAGCCAGGCACTTGACTTGCGATTTGCATTTTCATGAATGAACGAGACAAAGGCGCAGGCGCAGCCATCCTCCTTACTGTTGTTGTTGTTGTCGTTGTTTGCTTAGGAGAAAGGCGTCTACAGACAAAACCAATAAAAAGTTCAATCAACCGACGCCATTGAAGCGTCAAGCGTCGCGAACGCTCAGCAAATGATGTCATTAAGAACTACAATCTGCGGATTGTGCGATTGTGTGAATGCAACTGCAACCCAAATCCCAAATAGTGTTTGTCATGCTTACATGTGGCACAGTGTGCGATGAAGTACTTGTACTTGGCCAATGCAACACCTACAAGCTACACTAGACAACATCATTTTAAGACAGCAAGCTAACTCTTTAAATGTGTGACTGCTAGACGCGTTTTTGATGGAGTTTTAGAATATTTGATTTATCAAAAAATTGCAGAAAATATTTAGATGAATTTAAGTTAATAATTATATTTTTCTTGATTAATGCTTTAGTTTTGTTCAGGCTTGCAGTTAATATTTAATAGAGCAGCAAATGACGGTTACATTCCATTCTCCCATTCCATTCGTGTAATAAATTTGAATTATAAGGTTAACCATTTAAGAAAATTAAGTATAAGCAATTAATTCGTTTTAGGAATCCACAACAAAATTTGCATGAAATAAAATGCAATCCCCTTTGCTGTAATCCTTCCATACATACATATGTACATATGCATGGCAGGCGCGAGAACTAATTAACAGTTATGTTTTTTTATTCTTTGCTTTTACTTTTGCATTCTTAGAGAGAGCATTCTGTTGGCAGCTGCAGAGCAAGGCTCAGTGTTCCTTAACTTGTTGAATGCGCCGCGAAAACTAATTGAAAACGTTTAGTTTATATTTAAAATGTTAGTAACATTATGTACAAACAAATAAATACACATAGTTTTCTGTAAAATATTCATAATACACGTACATACATATGTGTTAAATAATATGTAACTCTGCTTCGGGTTTTATTTGCATGACAGGCGCGAGAGCTGATTTACAGTTATGATTTTTGATTCTTTGCCTTAACATTCACTTATTTGAAGAGAGCATTCTGTTGTCAACAGCAGAGCAAGGCTCAGTTAAGGCTTTGTTAAGCGCGTCGTGGCCGGTGGTCATTGTATTTGCCGAAAACTAATAGAAAAAGTTTTGTTTATATTTGAAATATTAGTAAAACTATGCACAAACATATAAATACATATCAATTATATCAAAATATTATAATATCAAAATTATGTTATTTATGTTGTGTATATGGTTTTTTTTTTTTAAGTGACTGTGTGCTAATATTAAAATGTATTGTGTGTAAATGTAAGTATTCACAGGTTTTTTATTTGTAATTTTAAATTGCTCGCAGTACAAATGCGTGCATTAACATACATACATATACATGCGTAAAACATTTCAACAAGAACTGTTGGTTAGGTGTTTTTTCAACATTGCTACAGTTGGGGATGCTACAACAAGCAGACCAAACGAGGCCATAACAAAACAGAAAATAAAAAGGGAACAAAAATAAGAAAAATAAAAACAAATTTCAAATATAAATGTTTCTAACATTTGCAACGAACGAACAAGTTGGAGGGTTGGTGGCGAACGCTGCAAAATTGTTCGGCAGGACAAAGAGAGCGCAATTAGATCAATCGGTAGTAGCAAGAGAGTGTACGATTTCTCTTAAGCATTTGTAAGGTAAGAAGTAGATATGGCAGATACAATTATAATAAGAAAGGACGAGTTCGACTTTGCCAAATAAATAAATAAATTTATGGTATTTAAACTGTTCATGTGATATATTAAATTTTAAATGTTTTTAGTTTAATTATTTTTAAAATTTTTTTTTATTTTTTTTTTGTGGGAGAGTAGGATCCGCTCGACTCTTGCCATCTATTCTTATTTGAAACAACTTGGCATTTCCACAATTTTGTGGACTAGTGTTTGTAGGACCATGTGTGCTTCTTGGCTGGCCTAGACAGCCGGAAAACAGCATTTTGCGTGGGCATTTTTGCATTTTTATTGACAATTTTCTTTGTTTGATTTTTATTAATGAGCGCGTTTTGTTTTCTGTTTTGCGGCTGGTGCTGCTTCGTCCACCGCTGCTTCCAACTTCCAATTGCCTTGCGTTTTGTTTGTCTGTTTCTGTATTTGGACATGGTCTTTAATTTGCGTGTGGGCATCACTGTGGGCCGCCTAAGTGCACTTCCGTTCGCTTAACTAACTGTTCTTTAAAGTGCACACAAATATAGTACTTTGCTTAAATGTGCGTAAAATTGAGCAATGGCTCTAAGCAGTTTTGACTGACTTGAAATGTTGAAATGTTGCGTGCAGACTTTCAGAGTGCGAAACAAGTTTGGGGGTGTTATGGCTATATTTGAATTCCAGATTGTTAACGCAGATCATAAAACAATAACTATAACTAGGATTCGAGCTGTGGCAGATAGTTTATTTCAGAGTCGGACTCCTTTACATTAAATAATTTTAATTTGTAGTCTGTGGGCGGAGATCTTCGTTGAAGAAGGTTAAAATTTCTTAAACAGAAAACACACTTTCAATTAAAGCAATCCAACAGTATTTTTTGAAATATTTAAAATATATCCAAGAAGAACGAAGCCCTCTGCCATTTGCTTACTTGCAATGCCTTTATCGTTTACAATTAATCATACGAATGGTTACAAAAGAAGTTTTTCTCACTTACAATTTGATAATATCGACATTTATTTAAATTTGTTGCACAATTTACACGCTTTGCTATTAAGCTGAGCAAAGTTCATTAAATCGCTGTGACTCTCAAACTGTGCTGCCCACAACACAACGCTTTACAAGCATCAACACTTCCGATCACAGCTCAGTTGTAAATCGATTTTCACCT